CTCAGGAGCATCAATGGGCCCACAAAGTTGATCCAAATTTGGGAATATATGTTACCCTCTGGTTATGTCAAACATAGCTATTGAAAATGGCCATTTATACTGGATTTTCCCATTAAAAATGGTGGATCGTTCCATAGTTATGTTAGTTTACCAGAGGGTACTCATCTCAATCTCTGAAGATTCTGAAATAAACATCACCAGGCAGATTTGAGAATATGTAATATGTATGATACTGTATGTTGTTTTCACCGGGGCCCAGGGGATTGCTGATTTTCTGAGCCAAAATTCTGGGCATCCTACGTTCTTGGTCAACGGCCCTTCCAGACCCTTTAAGTTGGCACCTTTGGCACCACGGCAAACATTCGAGCAAGGCCTGCCAGGCCGAAGACCCCGAGGCTGTTTTTGACCCTGGGATGCTGGGGATTTTTCACCATCGAAAAATAGGATGAACCGAAGCGACCGTGAATTGTGGTGAGCCACTTGCCCAAGCGCAACACATCTCCCGCCTGAAGTCGCCAGCATCCGGCACCCAGATTGATTCCAAAGCCCATGGCCACAGCAGCCGGGTCAGGGTCTGTTTCACGTTGGGATCTGACATGATTTATTGGCGGTAAAGCCTGAAAAAACATGGGTGTTTTGCTGGGCCTGATTTTTATTTGGAGATTTCTTTGAGTTGGATTTCAAAATGGATGACGTATGATAAGTTGCTATGGCCTGGTCGTCACAGTTTGATGCCGCTCGCCTTGAGTTTTAATACAAACAAAATCAAACGAACACATCATGCGTGTTGACATCTTTCTTCCAGTTGTCTGGAAGTCTTTATCTCAATATGTCTGAAAACTGGGTATACTCCAAAAATTTGCATTTTGATGGGAAAAAATGGTAAAGATATGGGGTGCGGGGTGTACCTTTCTTTCCATGTCTCTTCAGCATTGCCATGCTAACGCTTCGCATCCCACCCTGCAGCCACTGATTCGCGAGGACGTGCAAGATCCTAAACAAATAAAGTGATGCTACCTCGGAAGGAGGTCCATGTAAAGTTAACTTCACGGAGAAAAAGATGTAATGTGGTTAAAACAATAGTAAAGCACCCATTTGGGAATGGTTTATAGAACCTATTTATGGTGATTTGGGGGATGGGTGTACATTGTATCAAATTCTTTCTATGTAGATGCATGACAGAAGTCCAGATTGTGTTTATTTAGGTAGGCATAATAATATGCTGGTATGGATTCGAACGTGCCATACTCAGCTGTAGACTATCCTGGATAGTAACATTCCTGGAAGGTCATGCTTGTGGGCTTGACTTTTCCACAACAGCGAGTAGAAAACTGTTGCCCAAAAAAGGCTCAGAACCAGGCAGTCACACATTGGTTTAAGCAATGTGTTCATCAGAAAAGCCCTTTTGTCGGGGTGAAAGCCATGGCTTTTTGTTGTGATTTTCCATGATTTCCCCAGCACCCCGGGCAGGTCCTTCCGCTTTCTCTGTCCGTGCCTTTTTGGCCTTGCCAAGCCAGCGGTATCTCAAGACTGGTTTCAAACCTGACTTCAAACCATGATTGCAACATGACCACGGCTCAAACGTGGGCGCAAGATTCCATCGATCCCATCCTTCCCCCACCTGTTCGGCAGTGGCAAACCTGCCATGCTCCTGCCAAGTGATTGGTAAGTATGGAGAAAGCGAGATGGTGAAAAGGAGCACCCCAATTTTCAGAAACACCCAAATGGCCCAAATGGGTTTGTTTGCAAAGAATGGGAAAAATCTTAATCCACTTGTTTATCATCATTTCTCTTGTCCAAACTTCTTTTCTGAGAAGTTATGAGAAGTTAAACTTGGGGTCTGTCCCACTGCGGGTTGGAATCCCGGGTTAGCCTGGCAACTCCTGGCAACTCTTGGCAGCTCCAACCCCCAGTTTCATCACAGGCATCGGCATCCCGAGACCTGAAGGGTGCCCTGATAAATTCCTTCAATATCGATGGATGATAAATGATGATAATTCATCAGAATTCAATTCAACTTAGATCAACTTAGTTCATCTGTTCATCCGCCCGCCTGTCTCTTCTTTCCCCGGTAGACTTGCCGGTTTGGCCTCAGAAAGACACCACTGCTGAAATGATTGGCAAATGGGATACGTGATACATCATAGTACATCAGTAGATGTAGCAATAACTAGCAATAACTAGCAATAGTCATCATGAATCCCACTTTGAATGGCCACATCCACGTTTTGGCAATTTCTAGTGATGATCCAGTTGGAACATGTTGGAACCGCCATCGTCAGCCGACACCTGAAATTGGTGGCAGAGATCGCCGAGTGCCCCTGCATCCCCTCGATGCGTTTCAGGAGGCCGCCACCTGGGGTGGGGACCTAAGGTTTTTGCAGCTGGAAAAAAAGAAAAAAAAAACATCATCAACTGCTTTTTGGTTGAGATATGTTGAAATCCTCTGGTGTTGAGCCATGGCCCAGATTCTTCAAACATCACTCAGCCCTTCAGTCCTGCGCTAGTCCATCTTTGTTGCTGAGCAAAATCCCAATTTTTCTTGGCCAAAAAGGCCTGTGATTGGTTTCCGCATCCCATGTCTGTTCCGCGCTAGCGCGCGCCTTTCCCGCCCCGGCCCTCATCGACATCTTCCCGGAAATCGTCTCGCCACTGGCCGCCGGACCTGGGAAGGGACAGCGATCATTCAGTGGCTGCTGCCTTGAATTGAGCCACAAAAATTGATCGCTACTGGGTTTGGGACGCCATAAGTGGTTATGCAATATGTGAAATATAGAATATTAATAGATATCGCATGATAGAGATTTGACGCTCAAAATATGGTCAATTAAATATGGAGATGAAAATGATCTGATTGCAGGATGGGTCAGAGCCTGTGATTTTCGAGCGTGAACATACATGAATGCAGCTATCTTGATGCTCACAGGAGGGGACTAGCGGTTCGATCTATAGCCCTACGACTAACCATCATTCCTCGCTTCGAGGATCATCCAATGACGACTACATTGTGTGTTTTTCCAAAAGGGATGCCCATTGATGTGGTAAAGCCAGTAATGAACCATCTCCAATATTACCCTAAATGGGTGATAAAAATCAGTTTTTTTATGTGGCATTGGGTTTGTCACCTCATAAATCACAAACCATTAATTATTGATTATCCATAATTATCACCATTTTGTGGCTTAAAGCCCAGAAGATACCAAATTTCAGCAGTTGAATTCCTATGTTTGATGGTTGTAAGATGTTGTAAGTTGTTTATCATCACCCAGCTGCGTCCCCGCACTCTCCACGCCCAAACTGACGCCCTTCCGTGAAGCCCGCGTCCAAATCGACGCCTAGGGCGGCGGGTCAGCGGAGCCCGAAACCTGCAGGGACTTCCCATCCAAGCTTTCTTGATTTGTTCATTGGTCAATCAAGAAATGGATCAGCGGGGATTTTAGTGAAAATCAGCTCCAGGGTGCTTCATATGCCTCTTCTCTTCTTGATTTAGATAGGTATGGCTCAATTCACTATGGTACTGGATGGTACTGGTACCCTAGTTCTCACAGCATAGCTTGTTGCTGTGGGCCAAAGACAAAGAGGTATTGACCCATCCCCTTATATCCCCTTATTGATTCTAGACCCGAAAGCCAATCATTGGTATGGAGTGTTCACCACCCATTTCGGCGTGCGTTTGTTTATACAAAGGGAAAGCGTACTCTGGGAATGCCAGGAAAAATACATAGTTCTTGCCCGATTTGGTTGCCTCCTCAGCAAATAGACAAATTTCAGAGGTGAAACTGCTGCGGTTCAGCGGGTACCCCTTGGAGAAAGCACATTCTGGTCTCAGTTGAGGAGCGTATGACGCGATCATCGAAGGTGATCTTGTTCCTTGCACTGGGGTGCACTGGAAGTGATGTTGAATTCGGTGCTCCAAGTCTATTCCTGCCTTTTGCTTAAGATGGTCCGAAAAAGGTTTAAAAGAACTTCCCAATAATTAATAAGATTCCCTGAATGAAATAATAGATTTGCCAATGGGAAAATAAAAAAGTAACCTTCAGCAAACCCAAGTATTTCTGAGACCCTGAAATCCAGTGTGGGTTGCCCCGCCGAAAGAGGCCATGGTTCCGTGGTTCTTGAGGGAGCAGCAGCTATGTGATGCTTTTCATGTCGTCCAAAGGATGACATGGACCAAAGGATCCCGAGTTTAACATAATTTCCTTCATGCACATGGTGGCCATAGCATGAATAAACAGGATATAAATGGATATAATATGTGTCGTTCTGCTTGAGAGAGCAACAATTTTCTGGGGAGAGCTTCTGATTGTATTCTCTTCACATGGGAAGCCACTGTTGATGGCCCGTACAATGGCTATGCTGAATGAGATGTTTGTAGGCTTTTTCGAATTTCAAAATAAAAGTTTTGAGCCATAGCAATTTTCCTTTGACACCAAAACCACGGAGGTTTGCCCGTCTTTTCATCCCAAGGTGCAACAAGTTGACAGCCTCCTTCGCTTGCTCCTACGGGCCATGGTGAGGCAGCCACGTGGCCCAGTGGCCCTTGGGCCCTTGGGCCCAGGTACCAGAGGTAGTTTTGAAACCAAAACTCTCATGTCTGCTCAGAAAGAAAAGAAAACAACATCCAAGGACAGGAGTTGATGCTGCCACTGTTCCCACAGGGCCAACTAAGATGCTGGCATGGGTGTAGTACTCCACGAAGCAAAAGCCACAAGGATATTTGTCTCTTCTGTTTAGACCTGCGGAACAGGTCTCCAGCTACCATTTGTCCTGGGATCTACTGGGAAGGGGCTACAGCCATGCCCAAAAAAGTGGGGTTCACTGATATCTCCAACAAGATGGAATAGAAACGTATGACAATCGTATGACAATCTAACAAGGTGGTCTGAAAAATTACATCCCTCCGGCACAAGTGCCGTGGTTCCAGCCGCAAATCTAGAACACGTTGCCACTGTTCCCACGGCCCACTCTCTTATTTATCATGGCGAGGCGCCCATGATCACGCGCTTGATGTCACCACACTTGGAGAACAGCGCATAGACCTGCTCCTGCCAGGATTTTGAAAGGAATATGAATACCATTGAATACCTCTAGGAGTCTAGGATCATTGGAATGGGAGGATGAGGATGGATATCCATTTGCCAACAACTTCTGTGAAAAAAAAGCAGGGTTCCAGTGTCTTGACCCGTACCCAAACAGTTGGGTGGGCCATGGTCAAGACACTCATAGATGGCGAACTGTTGGAAGCAAAATGAAGCAGCCACATTTCTGCAGATTCATCACATTTTCTGGACATCCTTCATAACTTCGCTGAAAACACCTGCCTGCTTGCGGACCAGTTGCGGACCACAGATTGGCCAGGCAATCTTTTGTGTGTTCACTGTATATGTTTCAATCCCAGCTTGGAACATGTATTTGGTCTCAAACATCCCAACTTGGCATATCATAATCAATCATTCCAAGACCTTCAAAGTTGGCTCAAATTCTGACTGCCCCACATAGAATGTATATATCTAAAAGAATATATATATATATATATATTATATATATTATATATATATTATATATATTATATATATTATATATATAGCACCCATACTGCCATGTGAAAAATGCGAGATTTTGACCCATCTCCTCACCACTCCATGCCCAGCCGGCCACCAGCCAGTCCTCTCGGGTGCAGAAGGCCATATTTCCCACATAAACGGTGCGGGTCACTTTGATGGCCTGGCGTAGTGGAGTTCACCAGGCAGAATCTCGGGGAGTCTACCAACAAAAAATCTGAGTTGTTAAACGGAATAAGTTTTTCGGACCTGACCATGAAACATGGAGTAAGTATGCAACCCAAAAAATTGGATTGGAAGCATCGAAATGATTTTTTAAGCAGAGTTATGGAGATGTTACATTCAAACTTGGAGATGTTACATTCACATTGTGTCACGATATTCTGTAAGAAATTTTAATTTACCCTATTGTGATGCCTCAGAAAATTTCACTATTATGTGATAGAGTTGGATGGCAAATGATTTTATGTTGCTGTATGGAAGTTATTGACATTTTGTCCTGCCTTTTCGTCCATCCAAACTGCAATTGATCAGTGCTCTTTTGACCCATCCACTTGATGTTTCAAAGCTTTCTCCCGAGTTGACAACCTGCATGGTGGTAGCATGAACTCAAGCCATCAAATCCGTTGAACAAACACCCTCAAAACATCCCAAGAAGACCTTCCTCTTGCAGGAAGACCTCCAGCGAAGCCACGCCTCTGCCCACTTCTTGGGATTGTAGCCAGTCTTCTTGTCCACATACAAGACCTGCCTAGTCGAGTTGAAACATCATGACGACCCGGACCGCTTTGGAGCTACAAGCCCTATGGCGTTTTTTTTCGACCAGAGCATCCATTGATGAGGAAAAAGATGACGAATTGTGTTCTACCCTAATTTACTAAAACTAAAACCAGTCACTTTTTGAGGATGGAGAATCTTGACCAATTCAGGGTACCTAGAAACTCTCAGAAACCCAAATCTGTGGATCCCATGGTTTCCCACTGGGCATGCAGGCGGAGCCAGTTCCTGATAAAGATGCGCCATGGCACCGGGGCAACGTGGCACCGGGGGACCAAATGAACCTGATGCATCACCAATCATGTTGCGATTTGACACGTTGAAAGAATGATTCATGTGACTGTCAAACAAGATGTTATAAGTAGGATTCTGATTGGATGGTTGGCTTCTCTGCCACTTCAAGTCACGGCCTATGCATGCGGTTCATTCTCCCAAACCGCAGCGCAAAGATCATTGCTTGGGGTGGAGGGGAGTCCTGTTTTCACAGATATCGTAGACGGGCAAGATAAAATGATGGTGAGTAAGGAGGGAATAGCACATTCTGTGCGTAACTTGTGCTTGCCACCTATAGCTCCGCTCCAGGAATCTCTCTATATCACACTTATAGTGGAAAGGCTATGGAAGGCGCCTGGCCACCACAAGTAGAATCGTTCTGAAAGTTGACCTGCTTTAATCTTTTGAGCCAAACTGCCTGGACGACATGCTCCAAACTGCCAGACTGGACATGGATCCTATTTCCCAAAAGTTTGTGTTCTTCGAACGCTCGAATCGGTTCTTGAGCCAAATGAGTGGTGCATATACCTCGCACACTGAATCGGATGGTTTTCTCTTGAAGTCCGCTGGAACGGCGGTCGTGGCTGCAAAGGGGGCCTCTATACCCAGCAACCACTCATTAGGGTGTCCACCCTCACTTTCCAAATTCAATACCGGCATATATTTGATGGTTGTTGCGCTATCAACTGGTATTGATGGCTGTAATTCGAGCATGTGGCATCTTTTATGGTTGACAACCAAACATCGAAACACACCGATTGGTGCTATATAGTATACCATATTGGACCATGTTAGCCTATATCCATCAACCAACACGGACTGCCCTTAGCGTCGCAACGTTCGCAGCGTTTTTGCCGTTTCACCGGTCATATCCATCGGCGCGCTGCTCCAAAGCCGTCACTTTGGTGGCCCACTTCACCAAGGACAGGGCCAGCTGCTTGTCGCCTGGCAACATATTGGGGTGTGGGGGGTACCCATGGTACCCATATTGGAATTCTTGGGATTTAACATAATTTAACGGTCAAAACTTGGGATTTCACGGTGAACAAGAGGATTTAACCAACAAGATACTTGATTGAAGCGTCGAAAATTGTGATTGAACAAGTAAAAGACCTTGATTTAGAAAGAGCCAGTGGAGCCAGCTGAGTGACCAGATGAACAGTTAGATACTATTCACCCACTGCTGGCGCCATGGGGTCATATCAGTCATATCCCAATTGCTGATGAAATACATATCTTTGGCAGCTAGAATATGGTCAAATGGTCAAGTGAGCATCCCCATGTTTGGATACAAAATGTCCTATCCTTGTGGTTTCCATGCATCAATCCCCATGGCCCAATGGTTCACCAAAACCTTCACCCAATGCGGGAGCAAACCGAGGCTTCCACCCATGCGTTCGATGACCAAATCTTCCAATTGCGTCTGGCAACAGCAACGTGTTTGCAGTGCCCAAAATGCCATCCCTTGCAAAGATTGGTTGATACAAATATGCATAATGGGTCACAAACTGTACATAATACATCAGCTTTATAATCCGGAAATGCCATCATCCAAGACTATCAAGCGATACGCCAAAGAACGCGACCCAAGGATCAATCTGGACGTGTTTATTCTCAAACCACAAGATGTTTTTCGAATCAGCCCAAGTAAAAAACGAATGCAGCTGCCCGGCTCCAGATAAAATGGATCTTATGCTGGCAAGTCTTGATATCCCGAAAAGTGGGAAAAATATACTGTTGGTAAATACCCCTGAGCTAGCTAAGGTTTACCGTGCTTGTTCTTCCAATCTATGTTCAAAAAATAGAAGTAACTCCATTTTGCTGCTTTAGATCCTCATATTCCTGGTTTAAACCTCCATTGTTTGGGGTCAAAAGATTCACAAACCTCCTTGTTCTCTCGTTTTTCACTCATCCACCACACAAAATTAAAAAAAAAAAAACACCACAGGAAGGGCCCACGAGTTACATGTGTTCTATGTCCACCCACCTAAATCAAGATGAATCACCATAAATTCCTAGTTTTCCACAGTTTTTCTGCTGGTTTTCCGAGGTTTTTAATCCACCACCCCCCTGCCGTCGCCGGCCTTGCCATCCGCGTAGCGCCCGAAGCAGCTGGTGGCCGCCGGCGTTAGCGCGTGGTGCGCCACCGACAGCGCGCCCTCCGCGGAGCTGCGGAGAAGCAGCAGGCCTCGGCAGGGGCGGTTGGGAGGGGATTTCAGAAACCATGGATGGGGAATGATGGGGATATGGTAATAAAACCATACCATAGATGGGGAATGATGGGGATATGGTAATTTTTAACCACTAAAACAAGGGCAATAAGTACTAAGAGTAAGTATGGTAGCCAAGAAGAAGGAGAAGAAGAAGTGGTGAAAATATAATAGCAGTAAAACAGTAATGACGATAAGAATGATAATAATGATAACAAGAATAATGAGTTGGTGAGTGGCGGTTGGATGGTTTTAACCAAGCGAAATAGGGAGTGGCCATCCAAAAAAGGTGATGAATGGATCGGTTTGCCCAGTACAAATGGGTCCTACAATTAAAATGGATCAGTATTTGGTGTACATGGATTCTGGGCGTTCAATGTATTTTTGTTGGGTCGAAGGGCATTTTGTCGGAAACCCAAGTTTTTACCATTGCCAAGGGGGATGCTGTGGAAGCAAAAAAACGTATCCAATGTTGGCAGGTGATAGACTTGCTGATGATTTGATGATTTGATGATCTTGGACAGCTCTGACATGAGAAAGTCATGTTTGTCATTTTTGATAATATGGCTGATGAGATGTTTGATGATGACAAGTTGTAAAGTGTAGGGCACTTTTACGCAGCAAAAAAATACTCCCAAAAACATTGCTATTCTTTTGCAGGGCAAGAAGATTGGGTGCTGGTTTGATGATGTGTTTGGGATGTTTTGCTGGGGATGTGTGTTTGATTGTATGATTGCTGAGGTGTTTGATCATGATTGTTGGAATTATGGTTGTATCATGATGGTTTCATGATGCATGATATGCCTAGGATAATGTTTGTTTTGTTTACGATGTTAGGTTGCTAATATGGTTCACAATTTTTTTTGGTGTCAGTATCTTCACGCCCCAACATGACGGGCATTTCGCCAAGCGTCGGAGCGGCTTGGTCAAGGGCCACAGCCAGGGAGACAGGGTATGCCTGTGACATCGTCGAGCATGTTGGCAATGAGATCCCAAATGTTTTATGGAGCTGAAATAGCTAATCTGGAATTACATCATTTTCATAGTTCATGGTTATTAAATATCAGATAGTTACAGAAAGATTACACTAGTACATCCAAATCTTGTTACAATGGTGAGTGTACAGTCAGATGATTATCATACGCATATCTAAAGCAACTATTAGATCATATGCAGTTTTTAATCGTCTACTGCAATGGCATGTTTTATTAGAATCATTATTTAATATATATAATTATATGGTTACATGTACTCTCTGATTACTTAACGTAGCGAAATGGAAAACCAGCATTTTTTAAGAACAGTACATTCTCATGTTTATCATCGAACTAAATGAGGCATGGCTTCCATAGCAAAAGGCGCTAGCCGCTGTGTGGACTTCAGGCGAACCGCTTGAAGAACTGGTTGCTTGAGAACGGGATTCCCCGTTCATGCATTGCGATAGTCCTCCATGTGTGTGTATATATAGATATACAGTATATATTATATTATTATTATCATTATTATTATCATTATTATGGTAGTAATAATAATGAAGAATCACAATACCATGGAGAATCCATAGTTGGGTAGACCCAATAATCATGGGAACAATACCCTAGTTGGCGAACGCAAAATCCCCCAACTAATCATCAACCACCCGGGATGTTGAACGCTCAAATATTTGAGCTAGCGGTCGAAGCTGTTAAGGGATTACCAGCACTCCAATGGCCACGGTAATCCGAACATCTTGGTCCGAAGATACTTGTAGGGCCTCAGCCTTCTGATGAAGTGAAGCGATAATTCTATGGTCAGGCCATCAAGATTGACCCGGTTAAGACTTGTCATTTCCCATCAATGCATAAGATTCACTTACCAGGAATATGCCAGAATTGGTTCAAGTGAATATCAAATACAATCTTTAAATATCCCATCACTTCAATATCAAATGGATAATTCAATATCAAATGGATATGCTAAGTGAATATCAGGTCCAAAAAATCAACCAACTGATATCAAATTCAGAGCCCTGGCGCCCTGGCCTGCCCAGGTCGCTGTCCACCATCCCAGGGGTGGTACAGTGGCAGAACAGGCCGCCTTTGAAGGCCAGGCTCTGGGCTCGGACCGAGGTCCTCGCGACCAGGCTGAGCCAGCTGAGCCCTTTTTTGAGGGTGGAAAAACCCTTGGAAAATGGCCAGAAATGCCAGAAATGCTGTGGTTCATCCAGGATTACCATATGGTTATGACGAAAATAGCCATGAAAAATCCCTCAAAAAAATGGAGGTTTTAGTGGGAAAATCATCCATAAATGGGCCATCTATACCATGGCTATGTTAGTCATAACCAGAGAGTACTCTAAAAAAATGTGCTCCAGAGTTGGAGATTTTTTTGTCGAAATGGTTTGGTTTGTCCAAGGTTCCGAGAAAAAACTGCTTCGAAATGCGATACATCTGGGATAAATCCACCACTTCCACTTGTCATGTCCCATGTCATTCCACATTCCCAGAATTCTACATTATTTGTATGGTTGCTAAACATCCTCATGATTGTTGGTTAAATCCACATCTATTTCACATGTATCATCACTTTTTGATCGTGAAAGTCCCATTTATTCTTACTTAAAGCATCTCAAATCCAAAATTTTCTAGCGAAAGATCCCCAGATTTATTTGTTGGTGTATCACTTTTTGATGGTGAAAGTCCCATTTCTTCTTACTTCGAGCATCTCAAATCCCGAAAATTCCAGGAAAAATATCCCTACCTTTGTTGGTTATCACAGAACCTAAGGCCTAAGTCCCATATGCCCAGCCCCACAGCTTCCCTTCGCGTCTCCAGAGCATCAACGCCCGCTTGGAATCGGAGTACGCTGAGGTTTCAGGTACCTCCACCGCGATAGGATGGTTCGACTGAGGATTTCCACTTCTTCGAAGCACATCATGTGGATGCTTGGATAATTGGAGCCATTTCTACTGAGATTCAACTTGTTCCAATGTTGTTAGGTCAACTGCGTTTGTTGATCCCCTGGGAGAAGTTAGTTGAACCTTTAGTGGCTTGTGGGGTCCATCTACTGGTAAACTTTAAAACAGTAAAGCTCTAGGTGCATGCCTGCAGTCCAAGCATATGTGGACATCTGGATATCAGTTCATCATCATACGGATTCTTTGGTGGACAGTTGGATCAGGTTGGATAACATAGGACAATGCAACAAGCGGATAGCCAGAAATGCCATGAATATGCATGTACATGTGTATGTATATATATACATATATATGTATATGTATATGTATATATGTATTGGATGACATTGGACAAGAGCTCATCATATAATATGTCGCGGTCAATTATCTGGCATTCCGGCATAAAGAGTTTTGGAGGCAGTGATCTGCAGGGAAGCCTGGTACCTTCCAGCAATCTAAGTTGACCAGGTCCTCATATTAAACAGAAAAATCATCTGCGAATCTGCCATACAAAATAAATGAACCTTTAACTACAGGCAGGTCACATTGGCTAGTCCTACCCGGAAAAGAAAAGGCCTGTATTATATCCCAAGGTATCCCGGTATTCCCCCATTTATTGCCAAAAATCTAAGGGTTGAAGTGTTGAACTACCCTTCGACTGACGCTTTATCCAGGTAGAAATCTTCGGCCATTTCTGGGTGACTCGCCTCTCCCTTTCCAATGGACTCCAACAGCTCGGCGTTGAGCTCAGATCTCTTCTCCAAACGGCTAGAGACGTGCACCACCCTGCAGGAGAAAATCACCGAAAACACCAACGGAGCCGCTTTTTGTGGCTGCTCTCATGATGTTTGGTAAGATCCATTGACATCATTTGTAGCCAGCATTTTTCCTGTCATGTTCCCGTTCATTTGACCACATCCCGTTTTTTTTGTGTGGATCCCATGAAGATCTCTCCTTCGCAAAAAATCTGCGCCTCACAGGGGAGTGCTGGTGCTTCTGTCGCAGGCGAGCCAACAACTCGGTCAGCAAGAAAGGTCCCAGGAAATTCGTCTGCCACGTGCAGTCAAAACCTGCACGACCGACCGCTCCACAGAGATCAACAGAGTTCAACAGTGTTTGGAGCAGGTGTCAAGGATAAGATTTCAGTGGGAATGATGACACACGTTCGCAAGACCACAAGCTTCAAACCAACGAGGTCAGATAAGTATACACAACATCTTTATGTATGTATGTATGTATGTATGTATGTATGTATGTAAATATGTGTACATATATGTACACATAGGTACATATATGTACATATATTTACGTATATATACCTACAGTATCCTACAGTACATATCTGAATAAATAGTCATTTCTCATATCGTGTCACCATGATGAACACACACGCTGGTAAATCCCAGTTTTGAATGGCATGTCTTGCTTTGTTTCGCCCTGCTGCCTTTCGCAGAGCTGGAAGGGGGTGGACGCACCCCAGCATTGTTCACCAACCTGAACTGCTGATCGCCCTCGAAACCCGGCGAGTCATTTTACATATCATTACAATACGGATCATCATCTATCGTCATCTTTTGCACATGACTTTTAAATATGTGTCCGTTATAATTTCTTGTATAAACTTTACATTATAAATCTAAACTTTACATTATAAATCTTGGATTATATCCGACCTGGTTGATTGATGATGGGGTGAACCTACGAATAGTGATCATATTTTTCTAAAGTGGTATCCGCCCCAATGATCAACAGCCAAGGGGTGAATGAAAATCCAGAAATGACATTGACCACAGATCATCCACTCTCAGCCCTTCACATCCTCAGGCCAGTGTCACCGGCCAGAAAGCTATGAGCCTGCAAAAAGCGTGGCTGTCATGAAGCAGTCGGGCAGAAGAACGCGTTCATGGCGATGACCCATGACGTTGATACCCTCGGGTATTCAAACATCGCAATAGAAAGCGTTTGTTGTAGATGAGTTGACTATTGAAATTTGGGATTTCCAGGTGCCATGTTTGCTTATCTGACCTGCAGTGATCTGGTTGTGGCGAACATGCTGACAATAATTCATCAAATCTATCTGTCAAACTGTCACAAAACACAGAGTGACTTGGGAAAACAAAAAAAATACCTGTGACAATTACATTGCACCCTTACTTTGCAGCACTATATGTGAGCCTAAATGAAGTTTATTCTGCGATTAAAAAAGGTAAAACCAAGACGAGCGGAATCACTTTGACCTGTACATTCCTGCCATATGTGCCCTTGCGTCAAGACATGGTACATGCACTATGGTCATCCCGCCCTCATTCAGGATTATTTATAGAGTATATATACAAAAATATTATATCCCTATTGATGGATTGATGACCATCCCCCAATATGGGCAATTTACCCCAGTTTTGACTCCTCTCAGGTGGACACGCTGCTAAGTCCCACACTGGCCGATTGGCGGGCAAAGGATACATGTACCCCAGTTTTGACCACGGCACATGCGCCTGTGATTGTAGACTGATGGCACTGTTAGTGACATATTCAGATTCATGTGTTCGTATTTGCCAGATAGGTCTTCGCAATACGGATCTTGTACCAAAATGAGCAAAATGCATGTTACAATGTTGATCTACGGTAGCCCTCATGCGCTCTACAACAGGTACCGCAGCGCCTCCTCAACAAAGGCTTGCACCGAGTCGGGATCCAACAGGTCCAAGCTGTGCACCTACGAGTCGTCCCAAAAAAAACGACGGAAAAAAGCCACAAAAATGGGGTATTGTACACACTGTAAAAGCAACCATAATGGATATATATATATACGTATATATACGTATATATATATATATATTCATGAGCTAGTTTTCATGGGGTATAAATCATTACTAATCAACATCAATTCGCTGAAAATATTGGTGGGGATTTCACTATGTCTCCAAAATGAGATTCACGAAGTAGTTGTGGACTTTGGAGCCATTTCAATTTACCCCTGTGTAGATGGATCATTGCTAGTTAGAGGGAAATGTTACCCCTGTGTAGCCTAAGTGTAAATAAACAAGAACGCGAGTAATTGCTGCTAGAAAAAAATGATTCATCTTAGAGCATTTTGGGATATACTGTATCTCTGGCAAACAAACCTGGCTGGATTTTTTTCCGAGTCTACATGGTGGCTTTCCATTTCTACATCGTGTTCTACCATGTTTGAAGCATAGCCTAGATCCGCGAAAAAGGAAGGGGTCCAAAAATTCACCTGTCCAACATGTTTTTGTAGCTCAAGTCCAGTGACCAGTCAGCTTCTGTTCTGAATGATTGCCCCATCGCCTTCAAATGCTGAGAAGTGTCGCAAGAGACTGTTGATCCCTGAATCCCACACTCGAAATAGCTACGATTTGAACACACCATAGTTCTCTACGTCGCGGACCACGTCACAATGTGTCACAATGTGTTGCACCAACGAGTCTCCCTGCAGAAACAACTGGCCCACCTTAGCACGTTCCGACCTGAAAATGCTCTTGGCTTTCTTTTGGTCACGGCAGCCCACGAGCACATGAACTGAAGGATTGCCTCACATGGCAACTTTTGGGACCCTTTTTGCTCCAACAATCAAAACGGGGCAATGGGAAATCCCCTATAAATGGAGGTTAATGAGAAAAACCATCTTTCAATGGTACGTAAGTCTGCCCAACAAACCAATGATCGATTCTAGACTTCATAAATATGTACTTTGAATCGATGCGGAAGTCAGGGAACATGCATACTCCCATGGGTTGGATGGTTGAGGGTCTCACAAGTTGTTCAAACTTTGACCCAAACCTATGCTGGGATGATTGCTGAAGTCAACATACATGGCAGGTACATGGAACCCTCTGCCAAGCTGAATACTATCAGGTTGTAAGCTGTCACCAACCCGGAGAACCAATGGCTGCAGGGGTCATCTCCAGTGGTTTCTGGTGATATGGAGGTGTCCAATTCATGGGGAACTGTACCCCTAAATCATCCATTTGTTTCATGGATTTTCCATGAAATAAACCATCCATTTATTTATGATCCCCCATTGATGGAAACCCCCATAAAATACCAAGATGTTTGCTGGCTGTATCCCTATGGTTGCTGGATGTTGGTGGTTACTTAAGTCCAATTCGTGACTGAACTTGCCCTATCTGTTTCTAAGATTACAGCTGGCTTAACCTCAGACTGTTTCGCTGCCTCAATCGCAAGGTCTGCTGGTTATAGACGTTTGTTGGGTAAATCTCCCCATTCTTTCTTGATGGTTTCAATCCCCGTTTCTGCCAGTAAGCTCAAATTTAAGTCAAGTTAAATATCACCACGGTGTTACTTCCGAAGCCCCCAATGTTTGTTGTTTCCATATGGGTTTCCGACAAAATCAATACTTCATGTTTGATTGTGATTGCTTAACGTCCCCCTGTTTTGCTTGCTTAAAATGTCCCCACAATATATGTGAAGTCCCCATTTGATTGTTGCTTAGATATGTTTATAGATCCCATTCATTATATCCTATTTATTTATCACAATTTATCTATACATGATCTTCTATGATGATATGCCCATGTTTAACCATGAACCTCATTTATTGTTGCTTAAAAATCAGATGTATAATTTCGTAACTTGATGGCTGGTGAAACCCTATTCTTGTTGGTTTACATCCCATCAAAAGCTCATCAATATCCCAAGAATATCCCAATGAATATGAATATGAATATCCCCATTATCTGCCGGTTTTACAGTGTGTACACCCCCATCTATAGATGTGGTGAAATATATACTGGTTGGTGGTTGACCCTCTGAAAAATATGAGTCAGTTGGGTTGATTATTCCCAATATATGGAAAGTCATAAAAATCATGTTCCAAACCACCAACCAGCAATTATATAACCATCATATTCCCATTGTTGTTGGTTTATACCCTATTAACCACTATTAACATCTATTAACCATCACTATTAACCAGATATATAACCAAAAAACGCCGTTCTGCGCAGTCACGCAGGAGTTGCTGTGCCAGCTCCCGGCCAATGCCACCGCTGGCGCCGGTGATCACCACACGCGCATCGCTGCCGGCCACACCCAGCAGCAGCGACTGGAGAAGTCGTTGAAAAAGCGTCAAAAATTGGTGATATCTGGGAGGCATGGGGAAATGATGGTTAGCAATGGCTATTTTCACAACGGATTCTATGGATTCCCAAAAAAAAAGGCAGAAGCACTGGATCAATCCCACCATCCCATCCAAGATGTTACCCCCAGTTTTGGATCCCAAAAACTTTATGGGTGCAGTCCTAAACCACGGCTTGCAGGGGAAAACTCATCACCAGAGCCAACCTGCAACTGCGCCCTGGCTCGGGAAACTCGCAGAAAATGCCTGGCATGAGCCATGCCCATTTCTGGACAAAACTCACATAGTTGGTCAACCGTTGACAGTAAAATTTAAATTTGTAGTTCAATCCCAATCTATTAGCATGTCAATCTCAATATTGGGTTGTAAGAATTGCATTTGTTGAATCGCCATTACATCTAATGAAAGGCCAATAATAACTGCTAGGTCCTTCCTATAGATTAATCCAAGAATTGGTCAAATGTCCCATTGAGAGAAACTATGCTGGTTGATGAAGAATGGGATTTCCAGGTCAAAAATGATGATAATCCGAAAAACATATGAAGAACATGAAGGGTAGTATAATCCCACAATGAATCATCAAACAACCAAGGCTTTTTTGCTTTTGAACCCATTGGTTCACGGTGCCGTTGGCTTCCCGCCCCACCTGGCCGCAATCGCCACAAAGGTGGCGCCTCCGACCGCCGCGCCGGTGTAGAGCAGCCGGGTGAACCAATCGGAGCGCGAAGAGTCCATGGCGAAATCTACGACGGTGGATTTTTGGGTGAAAAGGAAGAGTTGTCTCAGAGTTTTTTGAAAAAGAAACCTAAGCAACAGTTGTCCCTTTTTGGTGCCACTTCAATGGGACTCAATAGGATTTTTTATGAAGCTTCACCAACAAAGTTGGGATTCAATGTGATCTTAGCGACCTAAATTGGAATATACAATAGATCAAGGGGGTGGTGATTCATGTCCTGTATATGGACATCGCAACTAACAGCCGTCTGTTTTGGTGATTTTGGAATCGCAAAATTACAACATTTACTGACCCCCCTAATCCTTCAAATTTGGAATCTTGGTGGTGCTGTCTGCTAGCCTGACAGGCTGTATCGGAAAACAGGACAAAGGTGTCGGCTGTCCGATGAGGAACCATCTGGCTGCCATCCCTGGGCTGATGCACTATCTGAAACACTCTATTTTCATCCAAAAATGAGTGTCTGTCCAGAACTGATCCTGCACTCTTTGGAGTCAGGCACCAATGAGTCTGACCGTGAGTCTTGAACAATCCAATTTATTTGGGGTGCCAGCCCCCGAAATTTCGCATGGAAGGAACAAAAACCCATGGCCAGTCATGATCTCATGTTCCATCTCCATGTTTTTTTGGGGGTTCAATGCACATCCTCACCTGCTTTTAAGCAACGCTTCCAGCTGAAGCAACTTTAGTACAGTCCTATTGGCCCATCTTGGGCCATCTTGGGCGGACTTGGCTGGGGAAGCCGACTTCTACACACGGAAAGCATGGTATTTTAATGTATTTTACCAGCCAAATATGAGGGTGTCCTGTCAATTTTCCCCGACATAATCAATTCTGGGAAGCTTGACCATTGGAACATCCGGCAATCCGGCTCACTTGTGAAAGAAATCTGCCAAACAGGCACTGCGACTTCCAAGAGTTTCTTCTTCAAAGTCCATTAATTGCTCACAGAAGCTGCGATTGGGCCGAGCTTGATGTCGCTTGCCTTGACAGCAGCTCAACTGAAATGTGGCCATTCTGGGGATCAAGAGCAATGCTGGGTTGATGATGGTTGATGAACATCAAAAATAGGGCAAACATTTTTTGGTTTATATCTTATTTATATGTGACTTGGTTGCATAGTTCAAATGCGCTTTCGTGACAGCAATGTACCTGTGCGAAATCTGCATCGTATTTCCAGTGCCCTACCTCAAGCAACTGGGGAAGTTTAAGACCCTCATTTCCAGGAGTGCATCTTCCACATTCATGGTTGTTTTGGATCTCTGGGACAGACCCCGGTGGAACATCATGAAGCTCCTTGATTCTCACCCAGCTGCTGCGCACCAGCTGAAAGGCTTGCTTCAAAGGAAGCTTGCACTGAGCTACCAGCCATGCTAACACCAAAGAAACGCTCCGAGAGGCGCCCACCATGCAATGGACTAAAACCTTGCCTTTGGCTGCCAGCACTTCATCAATGAAGGCCACTGCATCAGGGATGTAGACCCGGATGTCGGAGCTCTTTGTATCCATCACCGGAATCACCTTGTACTTCAATCTGCCCTTAAATTTGCAGGGGATCCTCTCACAACAATTCATGACATGGCTAATTCCCAGGCGCTGGAGGCAGTCCAAACTGCTGGCAGCCAATTGACCACTCAGAAACAGCCAACCATCTTTCACCTCTGAGGCATCTTCTAAGGCCTTCCGCGTGGCAAAGGATGGTGGCCCCTTGGGGACTGCCTTGGGCACTGCCGCGGATGCCTCGGATGCCTCTGCCACTGCCGCCTCGGCCTCCTACAGGACTGATGCTATTTTGGAGAAGAAATGACCCAAAAGGGGCCGCTGACCACCCTTAAAATAGAAGCGATTGAAGCGGAATCAATTGGGTTTTCGGTGAGCATTGATTAAAACTATATTTCAAACCCGAAACACGAGCTTTTCACACCAATATATGCAGCTAGTATGGCGGGAAACCCTTAAATTTGATGGTAGAAACCATGGAATTCCTATGGAATTTGCCCTGAACCAATCCATTTGTTGGCAATGTTGTTCTCCAGAAAATCCTATTACGGCCCATGGGTACCCCATGTTGTCCCCCCATACCATTGTCCCAGCCTCCTCCTCGTCCTCCGGAGCCGTTGCCGCCGCCGGCACGGCCAAGGTCGGCTCAGCCCCGGCGAGGTCCAGCAAGATGGGAACGTTGGTTAGGCCGATGCTCAGGTCACTTAAGGTCATCTCATCCATGTCCTGATGGCCATGATTAATGCTGTTGCCGAACCTGTCCGGAACCCTCAAAAAAAAGTGGGGCCGGGTTTTTGGGGAACTAAAAAATGGAGGGATTTTGTTCGATCTAGTCCCTCCTCATTGAAATCTGGCAGCTGAAGATGCTCTACTTGCAGAACTGCAGCTGCATGTGCCTTGAATTTTGCCAAAGTCCAGGAACTGGCGGAAGCTTCCAACGAAATCTTAGAGAACTTGGGCTCGCTGCTAGACCACTGCACCACCACAAAAATGGGGTCCGGGGGATCCGCAGAATCCGTCGCGTCGGTTTTGCCCATGGCCAGGTCCAAGGGAAACTGTTGGTTTCAGCAGCAGAAAGTTCCGCAAAAAACTGTGCAGGTGTTGGGTCAAATGACACCACTTGCGGCTCGATCTCTCCTGAGTTGTCCCTGATAATTTTCACTTCAGATGCTTGAACCACAATCATGTCTGGGCGGATACTCCAAAGTATGTAGGAGCGTATTATTAAAAGGGAAACAAACATGTCACCACAAAGATCTGTGGATGGTACGAGCATGATGTCGCCAAGGTATGCCATGATGATTCGCAATTAAGACATGAAGACACGGATTTCCTCCCTCGTTGGGCGATAATCTTCAAAGCAAACAACAAATGCCTAGATTCTGAGTTGTACCGATCAAACATGTCAAATAGAAACCGTCCTTGTTAGTTCTCGTTCATGTTAGCAATATCTGTCTGAACGTCTACAAGGCAAGCCACCTCTTACCTAATCATGCTAGAGTTATCCAATACTAGGGAGTGACTGGGAAAAGGATTCCTTCAAGTCCTTTGATTGATAAGCCAGTAGATTCGAAGAGCCATCAATTGGTATTGAGAAGAGCCATCCCACCCGGATTGGCTTGTCGTCTTCATTGTGATTGTGTACTTTCAAGAACTTTTAAGAACTTTTAAGCTCAGCCCCCTGTCTCCAAAGTGCATGGAATACGACATACCCGGGGATTTACCAGCACTGTGTCATACCGTTCATGTCAATTTTGTCTTGGATTGGGAATGATGGAGACATGTTAAACTCTTCAAATCAGGTGCTATATGGTGTTATAAAATATCTCCGAGAATATCCATGAGGTCCACAATCCCAGTGAAAGAGACAGGTCTCTTTTTGACAACGCGAATGTCCTGCGAAGGTCCATCCACCAGAGCCACACGGTTTAAAATGGTGGTCCCATGTGCTCCCTAAGAATGCCTTTGGATCCATCCCAGTTCGGGAGGGGCTTCCAAAACGCAACTATGATTCCACCTGGCACTGAAGATTCATCAGCAAAGTCAACCTGGATACTTCCAGACTTTGGCTCAGTAAAAGTCGGGACTCGCCCACAAAAAGTGATCTGCTAGGACCCCCCAATTAAAGCCACCCTTGGATAATTGATCCTGGTTTTAAAGTGGTTGAGTATCTCTGAGTTTTCTCATTGAGAACAGTGTTCCTTTTAAGAAAACATACCAAGATATGATTATATAATATAATTTCGATCTATGTGGTCATCCTACATGTCAAGCTGGGATCTACAAAAAAAACATGATGTCTTCACAATACTCGAATAAAGAGACGCTAAATCGGGGTGTATCATGGCTTCTCGTCAGTTTCCAGATTCAAACCACCAAAAAAAGGAAAGAAACGAAAAAACGATTCAAGTTTGAGTCAACCCAGATCTGATGACTTTTCGACTTTCAGCCTTGACTGACCTGCAATGAATCGCACCCTGCGCCAGGTCCTACGCTTCGACGCTAGGCCGATGCACCCAAAAACCGTTGGCCACACAGGACCTCACATAGCTCTTCAGCTGCGTTGAAGCACTAACCTGGCGGTGGATGGGTCAGTTGTGGAGCGCCCCGGGTGGATCTGTCCGGAGGGAAGAATTGCTGGGAGAATGGAGGGTGAATGAAGAATACATGAGGATTATACTATCAAACATTCATACGTTGTTTTGTCTAAAAATGGGTGGTTCACCCCAATACATGACCATCGTTGACCACCTGTTCGTTGAGGAAAAACTAAAAACTATTCAAATTTGGTACCCTTTTTGTATCTGTTTGCCCCAGGATTTGCAAGTCGGTTGCCCCTTGACCTGCTTGGAGTAGCCGTTGTGAACAAATCTCCGCACCACGACATCCACTTGCTCCTCCTGCGTGAATTCCACGGCGAGCAAAGTTTTTGAGCTGGATGTTCATGTTGGAAAGGCTCAAAAACCGTGCCCCATTAGCAGTAACTTGCATTGAATTGGATGGGTTGAAACTACAGACACTTAAGCAGTCCCAAAATGGTGCCCCACAAATATATGGTGCAAATCCTCTCCGTCGCACACTGGGTCCTTTAAACGCCGAAAGAGGGAGGCCACGTCCTGGGCGGGAATCTTCCACTTTTTGGCGAAGGCCTCCCACTTTTCCGGCGGTTGAAAATCATAGTCTGACAAATATCCTCGGTCGAGCTGGCATCCCATCGGCCCAACTCAGCCCAACTCTGTAGTCACCGGCTTGAAACTATGTTTGGTTGGTTCCATCGTGACCAATATCAAAGGGGGGTTCCCAAAAAACAACTTGGAGGAGTCAAGGATCCAACGTAACTCCTCAAAGCACTCAGAGCATCGGAGTAGTCAGCATCATCATGGCAAAACTCTGTGATGACCTGTGTCTGTTGCTCCAAGCTTAACTTCTCCAATAGTTCTTTCACTTCATCGAATGCCATGCCCCAAGAAGATGCGAAATGAACCAAAGTATCTGTGGGATGGTCTTTCTTGAAGCCGTTGCGCCGGCACGACTCGACATACTTCCAGAGCAGCCCTTCCACACTTCCTTTCCATTTGCTCACATGAAAGCGCCTGAGAACCATGTTTATTTCTTCGGCCTTCAAGCCAGCCAGTATCTCATGCACCTTGTTGACCTCAAGCTCCCAATGTTCTGCGAAATGTTGGATATCTTCGTCGTTCTGTAGCACTGCAGCAGTATCATAAGACTTCCAAGGATCTTCAGGTGACTCTGGTGACTCCCCTGGATCCACAGCAGGATCCTTCACCCAGGGATCCTCCCCGCTCCACCATGGATCCCACTGATCCGTTGCCGTTGCCGAGGCTTCCTCGGCCTCCTTCTTGGCAGCCCAGCGACTGCGACGACTTGGCGGTGGGGGCGGTGTTGGCCTAGTGGTCTCAGCCGCTCCACTGCCCCGAGAGTCCTGGAAACGACAGGAAAATCATCACCACTGTAACTGTTGCAAAGAAGTTGGATCATCCCTGTTTGTGCTGATTGTATCCTATTCTTTTTGGCTCTAAATCCACTGAAGTCATTGTGTTGAAGGTTTCCGCTTCACGCCGATCTTTTGCTATTCCCAAAAGTGTCCATTGCCATCCCTTCTGCTTAGATCCATCGGCTTTCCAGGTTTACTTGGTATTCAGCAATGTTCCTATAACAGACATCGTCATCATCTTTTCACATCTTCATAACTCCATCCTTCTGGAGATTAAAGGAAAAATATGGAAAAATAAAAAGTTGCCCCAGAATGGCAGCTGGCAGCTTAGCATCCTGTAACTCCTCCAGCTGCTGCAGAACCAAGTCGTACGAGCGCTGTAGGTCCTGCACTTCCTGCTGGTGCTGCTCCTTTTCCATGCTCAGCCTCAAAGTCCGATTGCGAGGATGAGGATGGGGATGATGATGAGGATGATGAGTCTCGTTATTATCATTGTTATTGGTATCATTGCTATTTATATGTCACCATGTCATTATTGTCACTAGTAGGATTAGTCTAATAATCATCGGTGCTATCATTGTCATGATGGGCCTTATTGTCTTACCAGTAGTAGCATTATTATGATTGTCATCATGATCATGACTATCACTATGGTCATCACTATAACTATAATTATGTTCATTGATATTAATCTTAGAGTAATTATGACTATGACGCGTCTGATGATTCTGATGGTTGTGTTTGTGATGACGTCCCAATGGCTGGACAATATTGACCTCTAGATGTACTCACAAGAAATGGGCTTGACCCTGGGGGTTAGATGACCAAGCTTGACTACCGGAGGGTAAATGACCTGACGGCGCATCAACCAAAATATATCACATGTAGCAGGATTAAGCCGATTTACACGCTATCCATGCACTATTTCAGGGATCATTCCATTTGAAATGGGGCACTTCAAGATCTATGAGACGCTCACCATGATCCTTGAAAGGAGAGGTGGGAGAGAAGGTCGGGTAGCTCTTCCTGGAAAATCAAGAAAATGGTGGCAGAAATTGTTGGACCATCGACCCAAATAATTTTGGAGCTTTTACTTCCAACTTGCTTTTGGAAACTGTCTTTAGGCCATGGCCAAATGAGCAAAGCAACCGACCCAGCAAGCTGGCATTCTCATCCTTCAGCAGCGTGTTCTTCTCCTCCAGAGTTTGAATGTGATGCAAAAGGCCTGTCCTTGGTTTTTGGACTGAGCAAAGCAGCAGTATTGGCGAACGCCTCCCCCACCACGACACGTTTCTGGGATACCCAGGCTCTTGCACCGAATTTGGTCAATCCCCACTTTGCTGCTTGGCTTGGCCAAAAAAATGTACCAGGCACCAGCAATTTTCCCCAATGCAAACATTGAAATCTAGCCTTTTTCATCAAAATATTGAATGTTGCTTGCCGCTGGTTGCCTTCAGTGGGTATGGGCCAACATTAGGTACGAAAAAGCATAAAGGTTGGTTCGCTCCTCAAAATCACAAGCCCATCACTGGAGTTACTAGTTTCGAGGCCTTGAATTGACTTCAAACCCACATCGCTTAGTCCTTTTATACCCATTGGCCCATTGTCAATTCATATCTCAAGTGAGTTGGACATGTGCCGCTCTGTCTGTTCGGTGTGTTGATATCTCATTTTCTTGCTCAGCATCAGCATACCACGCTGGATAAAGTTCCTTTTCTTGGTGGGAGAATCCGGTTGGCCAACCCATAGTACTCAACCAAATTATGTCCCAAGACAATGCTGGAAGTCCCATAGTCATTGAAAGGTGGGTTGTCATACTCGATTTTGCTTGAGCCAAAATTGTGTACTTTTCGATAAGTAAGTCTATGATTCTCGTTATTTCGACTCTCTAGCGGCCCTATGTTGATGGGAGAATCCGGTCGATCAGCCAAGTTTCTTTTCGTTCATTCTTTCCAATTCTCTTTTTTGCATCTCCTCCAACCGTTGTCTCAACTCCATCACCTCGGAAATAGGTCAAACCCCAATCAGTCTCCTGCTGTTCCCAAAAGACTATGAAATAAGACATTCTCCCCTTGGATTCCCCATTCATGGTGGATGAAAAACAATAGAAAAAAAACCTTCAAATCTCAAAAATCACCACAACAATAACATGGAGATCCATCCATAACTGCATTGGTTCATGATTTTTCCCATCCACAGCTGGCCATCTGAAACCTCCTCCGCCCCGCCACGGGCCTCCGACGCCGATGACGGCGCCGGAGGCGGAGGCGGCGGCGCCTTCACCGGTGGCCGCGGCTCGCGGCAGCTGGGCGGCGCCTTGACACTGGAGCGGCCGGGCGAGCGGTCGCGGCCGAAGGTCGCGGGGGGCGCCTTGAAACTCACCTGAGATCTGAGATCTTGGCTGAATGCTGGCTGGGTCTAATCGGGATGCTGATGTTTGGGATGTTTGGGATGTTTGAGGGTGGTGGTTTGGTTTCGTGGGGTACCAGGAAATCCTGGGATTCCAAAACTCCAAACTACCAGCGAAGCAGTTAATGGGAGTGGTTGGGCCAACAAAGATAACCACAGGAGAATCATGAAAAATTATGTAAAAACACGGGATTGACTTAACCAGTAAAAAAAAAATGAGCCGAATCATCTCCCCCAGTCTGGAGGAAACAATGACACCACCAGCATCAGGTCACGCTCGAATTTCCAGCAGCCCCAGCACCTGTGGCCACAGATTCCATCCCAGAAATATGAAAGGCAATTGGGATCATCATCCCCATTTCAAGATCTCAGTTGTCGGAGTAAGATTGATTTCTTTTACAAAATACAAAACCACGAACATCACACACCAGTTCAACCCCCAGTTTTTCCTGGTAAAATATCAATTTAATACGATTTATGGATCGGAAATATAGAATATTCATTTTTTTCACCAGTCAAAATCAAAGACAAAATCTAAACATGGATATGTATGTATGTATATATATTACATATATGTGCATATATGTGTATGTATATGTGTACGTATATGTATATGTATATGTATATGTATATGTATATGTATATGTATATGTATGTGTATGTGTATGTGTATGTGTATATGTATATGTATATGCATATATATATACATATATATATATATTAGTGCGCCCATTTTCCATGGTAACATTCCATTTAAGACCGTTTTTCCCTGCCTGCTGACCCTTCTGCCATTGACGGCGGTCGCGGCTCTGGGAAGGTTCGAGAGGCCGCGGCTTTTCTGGGCGACAGCGAGCGGGCGGCGCACGCCGCACGGCTGGCCGGGGGCGGAAAGGCCGGTGCACCAGGATCTGTGCTCCTGGAACAAAGATGTAAAAACACCAGGGGATGATGGGAATAATATATATATATATTAATATATATATATATATTAATATATATTAATATATATATATATAATGGGATATCCTCTATTTATCGAAATGAATATGTTTTGAATATCCACGGTTTCCATGGCAATGTGCATGATTTTATTTCTACTTTAGGTTAGATTGCTGGTAGATAAAACTCACATGGGCAACACTATGGAGGACAGCACCAGATGGGCCTCCAAGTTTTGAAAACCAAAGGGAATTTTTTCTGAAAGAACAGGGTTCCTGGCGTTTCCTTAGAAATGTAGAATCCCTTTGTTGGGAGGTGGGTCATATCATCACTTTCCTTAGGTAAAAGATCAAATCTGCTGTATCTGCATATCTGTCCCTGACTGATGATGTGGTCACATTGCACCAAGGGCCAAGTCATTTCGCTCCTGAGACTCCTCCCAGAAGCTGCCTGTGAAATGGTGCCTCAAACCCATGCGAAATCCACGGGTCGCCGGATTCTCATGGGAAAGTCTACATGAGACCATGGTTCTACCAGCCAAGTGTCTCCTGTATATAGAGTGTCCCTTGAACCACTTGTTGGAATACGTGTTCTGAAAGAGAAACAACATCCCCCTTCAGCGCCTGGATTTTGAACACCACTGGCCTTCAAAATCTTCTCGAAACCTCACTGCGTTTCTGAGTGCTGTTGTCTTCAGGGTTAAATCTCCGAATCAGGTTTGTAAGTGACAATAAATCTCCGAAGTACCAGAACCTTCCACTAATGCAGTTGATGTGTTTTTGAATGTGCATGTATTTAGTGCTGAAGAAAAGAGCTGGAGATACCTGAAAAAGGTCAACATAAAGCGCTTTGTAAGTCTGAAGTGTCCACGACAGCAAGTGCCATTTTGGGTAGGATAAAGAAAATAAATATGATTGAAAGAAAGCAGATCGGTTTCGCCACAGCCCTCCGGTTCATGAGGTTAATGGCCGATTCCCTTCTAGAAACGTGATTATCTACTAGTGCCATAATCAACCATAAGATGACTACTACTACCATTCTTTGTGTACTACTCTTACTATGACTACGACTATGACTATGACTAAGGCTATGCCTGTCAGTGTGACTAACTATCGCTATTATTATATATTACTATATATCACATTGCTATTATTATAGTGTCATGCGTCGTTAATGCAATAGTTATGGTGAAAATGCAATACAATGATTAGTATTAACATATAGCAATAGTAATAGCCATAACAATAGTTATAATCTATGCAATACTATAATCATCCCAAAAAAAATGTCCCGGCAAGAGACTCCAAACAGTGTGGGAAAGTAGGAACATAATGTATGATAATGTGGATGATGATGATGATGATGATGATGATGATGATGTTGAGAAGGAGGAACATGATGATGTTGATGACAATAATGTTGAGGAGGAGAATGAAAATGATGAACAGGATGATAATGTTGCGTAAGCTGAGGTGGATGATGATAATGCTGTGGGTGATAATGTCGAGGGGGAGGAAGATGATGATGTTAAGAATAGTGATGTTGAGGAGGAGGAAGAGGATGATTTTGAGGATGACGATGTTAAGGATGATGAGGTGCAGGGTGATGATGTTGAGGATGTGGATGTGCAGGGTGATGATGTTGAGGATAAGGATGTTGAGGATGATGAGGTGCAGGGTGATGATGTTGGGGATGAGGATGTTGAGGATAATGGGGTGCAGGGTGGTGATGTTGAGATTGATGAGGTGGAGGATGATGATGTTGAAGATGATGTCAAGGGGGAGGAAGAGAATGATGTTGAGAATGATGATGTGGAGGAGGCGGAAAATGATGATACTGAGGATGCTGATATGGAGGAGGAGGAGGACCGATCCCCAGACAACGCCGCAGGTTTTGCGCGAGCCGTCACAAAAGTCATCAGAAGAGCCACTTTTTACAGAAATTTACAGGAAAAATGCCGCCGCCCAGATTGGGCCCAGAACGCGGACACACACTTTGTGCGAGCCTGCGCAGTCGAAATGCATGTCCACATGTCACAAGAGACATCAGAAGACCCACTGCATACGGAAATTTACAGGAGAAATGCCGCGGCCCAGATTGGGCCCAGAACGCAGACACACACTTTGTGCGAGCCTGCGCAGTCGAAACGCATGTCAATACTTCACAAGAGCCACTTGATACGGAAATTTACCGTTAAAATGCCGCAGACCAAAACCGCGCCGCAGACTTTGTGCGAGCCTGCGCAGTCGAAACGCATGTCAAGATTTCTTTCACAAGAGCCACTTTTTATACGGAAATTTACAGGTAAAATGCCGCAGACCAGAGTGAGCACCCTGATCAAGCGCCGGCCTTTACACCTACTGTAACAACCCCTCAGTGTGGACACACTGTTTCGGGAAAAATGGAAAAATCAAATCTCACTAAAATGGTGACAAATCACTTTTCTATCTTGTCGGGATGACCATATTAAGGCTACAGTATATTGTTCTACTTCTGTTTTTGGACATTTTGTCCAGCCAGGCAGCAGCCATCCGAATCCCTGTCCATCGAATGCCGTTCCAGAAAGCCGTTGCTGAGGCAGGATTGCACCTGCACTTTAGATATATCCGGGTTAAAAAAATGATGTAAATGGGAATCAACTATCAGAATCAAACATGATAGTGATATAGTTGGTATGTATAGCCATCAAACAAGGCTGGCAACTGGAAATCCTCTAGACTTGCGCATTCAAACGGAAATTGATGTATCAATGGAGAATTGTGCATTGCCTGATGGTGAATTGTCTCCCCAAGGAAAATTGGGTAGAACCAGCTAAAAATTGGGATTTGCTGAAACTACTGATGAGCAGTAGCTGGTTAATAAATGGGGTTTTACCGTTATCCCGATCGTAAATGGGATATATAACCCAGTTATCCATAGACTCATCATCGCCAGGGTTATCATCCAGCGACTAAATCAAATTATATAAGCCTCCTGTCATCGCAAGGAGAGAGGTTTCTCCATGGAGTTCCGGTGTGATTACCGATGGCAGCACTGAAAATCGGGCGCATCCTCACTTTCGGCTGTTGTTTGTTGTTTATCTCCTATGTTTGCGGGAAAGTCTAAGAAATCATAGTCTTAGTTTACTGTAGAGGTTTCCTGCAAGTAAAGCCATTGAAACAGGGTAGATCTGGAAATCTCGATTGGATGGATCAGTCGACCATTGAAATTGCTACCCTTACGCATCATCCTAAGCAACAAAAGCTACCCCTCAACGGAACCCTTACAGAGACTTTACCACAGTGCTCTTCTTTTCTTCTGGTCTTGCGTCACAAGCGATGGTAAAATTCGACAAGCCAACGCCTCACCCCAACTGGGTCATAATTCTCATTCTCCATAGGGTAAGAATCCACACAAGATCAACCCCCCAAAAAAGATCCTGTTGGGATGAACTCGCCGCTCATCCACGCCCTTGGGGCCCTTTCGGGGGCTCTTGGGCCCCTTGCGTACTTCTCGAATCGCTTAATGGCTGGATATGTGCCACCAAATTCTGGGTCATGTCCTAGGCTGCGGTCCACAAAGTCTCCTCCGTGTAGCCACTAATCCCACTTGGTACTTGTGCTCACTGACCATATTTCGGGATACAGGACTGAGTCATTTCCGGGTATATATAACCAGATCAATAACCCCCACAAGTTCGGCTGTGGGACCCTATCACTTTTGATATAGAACAACTTATAACTGGAACTACCCCCAAGTAGTGAGTTACGACTTGATGTTGTCACATGAATCATTCACAAACATCGCGTTACAGCCGCGACTACCAATCTCAAAAACTAGCCTTGATAATCATCCAAGGAGTGAACATGGCAAGGGATGAGGCTATTGGTCAAAATCATTGGCCCCATCATAGCCCATGTTTTAACAGTTCACATGTATCAATCGTAGCAACATGGCAATGTCGAATCCTCACTTTCAGGGACATGCAAAATCCTTCACTGTATGGGCTTTGTGAACCACTTTTAGGCAGATCCCGAGATTTGTCATACAGATTTTATACAGGTTTGGGATCGATGTTCTTCTGTTCCATTTTTTCCATTCTAGTTAATTCTCTCCGTCGCTTGCTTGCTGAATCCGTGAGTTAACCTAAAAGCTATCTGTGCAAGGCTTTGCTTGGGGTGAAGTTCCACTTGTTATATATAACAGTTCAGCCTCTCTCACCCAACGCCGCTCCGGCATCTGCTTTCACTCCATTTTGGATCCGATGCCGCCTGTCGGTCGCACACGGATGCAGCGTCTGTGCCTGCTGATCTGGCTCTCCACCGTCTGCACCAGCAGGGTGGGAGGATGTGGGTTTTTGGAAGTTTCGAGCCGAATGCCGGAGCTTCCCATGTTCCTATGCACAAGTTTTGTGCTTCAAAATTTCAGCCTCTCTCACTCAACGCCGCTCCAGCATCTGCTTTCACTCCTTTTTGGATGCGATGCCGCCTGTCGGTCGCACACGGATGCAGCGTCTGTGCGTGCTGATCCGGCTTTCCACCGTCCATAGCGGTGCGACTCTGACTGGCCATATTCTCGCGCCCCTGTTTCGTGGCTCGGCAAAGCATCTCGTGGGAGTGGAGAGCATGATGGAGCGAGGCCCTGCACTTGGCCAGCTTCTTGTAAAGCAGGTTCCAATCTGCTGTACTTCTGTCCAGCCATGTTCATGTGCCAGTGTGAAGTCTCGGCGGGAGATGCTGTCGGAGATGTTGGCTGCACTGCACACTCTGCGCCAATGTGGGTCTGCCGCCTCCATCGTGATGTAGGTGCACAATGTCAGTCGCCAATAGGCGATTGACTTTTCGGTCACGGCCACAGCCTTTGATCAGCGCTGTGCGTCAAAGATCCAGCTTGTGACAGAAACACTGGCAGGCCAGGCCATGAAAGCCTGCCACAAACCCTTGTACCAACGAGCGTACCAAGCGACAGCATACACACCTCTCGCGGAAGCACTGCTGGACGCCATCGACGCCATGATCTACATCATGCACCACGTGAAGCCCAAGATAGTCCGTTTCTCATCAGAAACCCAGGCAGTGCTCTATGCTGACGCATACTTCAGGGCCGGTGACCGCCACATCAAGCTCAAAGATGCAGCCGGTTCACCGAGCGGAAAGCCTACATCTATGCCCTGGAGATCATGGCACAAGTTCTTGTCATCGTCTCCACCAAGCACCTTTGGAACACCGCCATCTGGTGTTGGATGGACAATGAACCGTCAGGGTGGGGGTTGTCTTGGAGTTTCACCTCCTGTAGCTGTGTGATCACTGGTTGGAGTCGTGCTGTGTCTGGCTCAAAGGTGAAGTGATCGTCATCGATCGTCATGATGACTCCTTGGATTTTGTGGCTTCTGGCCGGGCTTTGCTTCTTGGACGGTTTGAACCTGAAGCCCAATGTTTCCCAGAGCTGATGTGCTCTGTTGAATGATGTTTCCGCCAGTATGGTATCTTCTGCAAAGTCATCAACATAGTGGATGGTGGATGCACGGTGTCAGCAGGATGATCCTGGCCAGCCACATGATCATGTCGGCGGTACGACCGTATGCCCAAACGGATCCTGTGGCACCGAACAGTAGGGCGTTGTGGCGCCACAAGGTCGGGCCGTTGGGTGTGACACCCATGTGTCGTGAGGATCCGCCACCGGGACCTGGCGGTAGGCGTCTTCCTGATCGGTGCCCCATGCTTGGGATGTCTTGCCCTGCTTGGCCATGGCTGTGGCGATGGCGATGAAGGTGGCTGGTCTATGGTTGAATGGAGCGTCCGGTGCTCTGATGGTTTCATTCTGATGCCCTCTCGCCAGTCTTCTCCTCTGCGGATCTTGGGTCGTCCGTCTGCTCCCATGTGGGTGATGGAGAATGCTATGCTGGTCACGGGATGTTCATGCGGACCTGGGAGGAGGTCTTGGGTGTGTCGGTACTGGGTGGCTGCGACTGTGTGTTGTCGTATTGAAGTCCTTTGAATGGCCCGTCCAGTCTGCGGGTCTGGACGTCGGCTGCTATTTCTTGTAGCAGCGTCTTCCAGTGCTGGTCACACCGGTTTCTGTTGGGTGTAGTACAGGTTGTCAGTCAAGAGCTGTTCCTTGGTGATTGGCTGGCTGTATCTCTCATCGGTTCGTTTGGGCCAGCCCCAACCTGGGCTGAGATTTCCCAGGAGTTGGAAGCCTTCTGACAGCTCTTTCAGCAGTGTCGGGTCGCCCCACTGGAAGATGTCCGCTAGTTTGCGCATGGCCACCACTTGAATGCATGTCTGTGGTGTGCCGTACAGCTGTTGGATGTGGGGTTTGAGAGCATTGGAACCAGGCTGTAGTATCCTCCCGTGCGTGCTCCAAAATGAGTGTGACTTCGTGGCAGGCTCTGTGCCGGATTTCTTCAAGGCTGTCCCGAAGTTCATGTTGTAGCCGCAGTGTCTCTTTCAGGTGCGGATCCAAGCCCAACATTTCGTGTGCTGGGTCTGGTAGTGCCAGTGCTGCCTGCCGCATCTAGAATGATGGCTCCGTACCCGAGCTTGTTCTCGAAGTATTGGATGTCTCCCCTGCGGTGGGGGATCACGTTCTCTGTGAGCTTCGCAATCTTCCGTTTGCCCAGCAGTGGTTGTAGTTGCCGCTGCCAGGCTACGAAGTGTTCGAACTTGATTCCTTCTGTTCCTTCCCTGAGGGACCCGGTGATGCGGGAGCAGTCAGGGCATGGAGGGCCAGCGCAGATGAGGATGACGGCCTTCTGTTCTGGGTCAGTGGTCGATCTGTTGGGCTACTTCGTTCACGTCGTTAGTTCTGGATGTCAGATCGATGCAGTCTTGATCGATCCCACACGCCAGGTAGCCCAAGGTGTAGCACTTGGTCTGTTCGGCCACGATGTCCAGCGCCAGTTTGGCACATCCGATGCCGTCGAATATGCTGAGTAGGATCACGGGCTGACCCGTGGGTGTTGTGGATCCACTCGCCTTCTTTTGCCGAGTACCTCGCAGGCCTGCGAGGCCCCGAGCTGTCCCTGGGCCGATGGCTGGCCCACAGTCCCACTATTGTACTTGTGGGACTGGTTGTACCGGGCGTCTTGCTTCTTGTCTTGGCGCTGCCAAGAGTCCTGGCCCATCTCTTGTTGCTTCCCTTGCCCTGGCCGTAGTCGGTGCGGTAGGGCTCGTGCTTGTGCTGGCGTGTGGGTGCCTGTGGCTTCATCTTGGGCATGGGGGCGGGCAGCTCTTTCTGGAGGGCTGCCTGGAGAGCGTGCTGCTGGAAGTCAGCTCCTTGACGTAGTTCCAGGCATAGTTTCCAGTTGGCCTCCAACCAGTATGCCTTGATGTGTTCCAGCTTCTGTGTTTTGGTGCGCACCAAGCATCTCCACCATGATATGAAGGCTCGGACTTCTGCTTCAGTGCCCATCCTCACCAGGATCATGGCCCATTCAATGGCCTCCAAGGCATCCAGGAGCGACAGGACTCCCTTCGGACTCCAGCGCGTCTCGTCCGAAATGTTGGCCGTCCCCAGACCCAATGTTAGGTCCAGCGTGACCTTGTTGTCTTTGGTGTCATTGGTTTGTGCCAACGGGTTGGGGTTGCCAGCTGCGTCAACGAAGACGCTGCAATGTTCCTGTGAAAACGTACCTGCAATTTTCCAGTTTTTCGTCAATGGCAACCGGCTAAGCCAAGAACCGGCATGTCGTTTTTCCAACAGTTTTCAAACTACTGTACGGTTTTCGCAATCTGACTGAGCTGCATCAGAACAAGCAAATCCTTCGAGCAAGGACGTAGAAAGATTTTCTCGCACAGTTTCTCACTTCCAATCATCAAACCATTCCTGTCAGGTTTAACTGAAGTGTTTTTGCACGTGCGATGCATTCCACATCAGTAATTCGATAAGATGTTTCTGAGCAAGTGTGTCACTCATGCCGATATCCGTCAAGGTGGTATGAGCCCTTCGGGGAAAGCCTTTCTAGGCTAACAATTGACGGTAAAACGATGTCTGAATTTACACTTTTGAATTAGTAATTCGTTTAAGTAAAGTGAACAGCCGGCCTTTTTTCCTTGTCTCACCCGTCGATGTCGTTGTGTTGAACCGCTGGCCGCTTGGCCTCACCCTTTTCCTTTTCTCATTTGTCGATGTCGATGTGTTGAACAGCTGGCCGCTTTTCCTGGCCTCACCATTTTCATTGGACAGCCAATGCATAATCTTAAGCTGCGACAACAATCTTCCTGTTGTTTCAAGAGACAGCCACTCCGCAGCCATTTACACATGATCAGGTAACAGGACATGCTTTCAAGGTGTGGTATCTTTCTTTTTTGGTTTCTCGGTGAGGTTGAAATTGTGCACCTAATTCAGGGGTTGAACACGTAAGCCGTCCAGAGGGTTGTGACTTGAATGCCGAGGGCCTTTGAGCCTTATCACGATTTCTGCATGCGTTGTGGATGCATCATGTCATTAACTAGTTCCCCATGGGTCCATATTTCATGTGTTCTTGCGTTCTCCTCTCTCCAGGTAGGTTTGGCCCGTTGCGTGCTGAGGTTGTTGTAGGTTTGCGCTGTGTCAGGTTGGTTCAGGCGCTTCTGTCTTCCCCCTCCTCCGCTGGTCTTGTTCCGTTTTCCGTCGGCCTCCGCTTTTCTTTTCTTTTCCCTTGCCTTTCCAGGGTTGCCCGTTTTGGGCTAGGTTTCATGTGTTGGTGTTTGCTCTTTCCCTCTTCTTTTGCGTTCCCCTCTTTGCGTCCTGGTTAAGTAATTTTCATCTCATTGTCATCTTCACCTCATTTTCATTTCCCTTCTTCTTCATTTTCATCTCATTGTCGGGACCTTAATTTCCCACCCTCCTGCGGGAGGGTGTGTGTGTGAACCATCTGGAAAGATGTAAAACTTCTAATTTAGCAGGGGGCCGCTGGGGAACATTGCAGTCAGCGGCCAACGAAGATGCTGCAATGTTCCTGTGGAAATGTACCTGCAATTTTCCAGTTTTTCGTCAATGGCAACCGGCTAAGCCAAGAACCGGCATGTCGTTTTTCCAACAGTTTTCAAACTACTGTACGGTTTTCGCAATCTGACTGAGCTGCATCAGAACAAGTAAATCCTTCAGCAAGGACTTAGAAAGATTTCCTCGCACAGTTTCTCACTTCCAATCATCAAACCATTCCTGTCAGGTTTAACTGAAGTGTTTTTGCACGTGCGATGCATTCCACATCAGCAATTCGATAAGATGTTTCTGAGCAAGTGTGTAAGGGTATGCCATGTTAATCCAATGGGAGAGCGGACAGGGACAGCAGGATGAAACTGCGGAGCACTCATATGACATGTCTGTGTCAATCTGTCGTGCTGTTGATGTTTCTGCTCTGAAGTTCGACTCTTTATCACTTCCTGAGGATTCATTTGCCTCAGCCCTCTGGAAATTTCTCGCCGGCTGCGTCTTGTTCAGCCCTGATACGGTTTCTATGGGCTGTGAATGCCTGCTCCATCGTTGCTGCCGTGCCATCAGATCCACCTGTCGGTTCTATGGTGGGTGTTCGCGGTGGGATCACCATGTTATTCTGTCTCATCAGCTGGTCATTGATGGCTGAGTTGATGTTTGTGCCCGGTCGCTCATGATCTGGACAAAAAGCTCTGGAAGGAAGTCATATAGAGGTTCTCCCCCGTGGCTCCCAGCGCTCCAATGCAGCGGTTTACAGCCTTGGCTTGAACCACATTCAGGTCACATCTCCATCTGGCAAGACGGAATGTGTTGGCTCTGAGCTCCTCGATGATGTGGGCTCGATGATGTCTGCGGCTGTCTCGTTGACTACTGCCCCCTGCTGGAGGTACTCATCGTGCCCCACCGCAGTTGCTCCCATCAGTTGGACCGCTTCCGTGCCGACCATGTGGAAGAACTCCCGAAGATTGGGAAGGTATAGTCGATTGATGGGGTCGGCCAGTTCTAGGAGCTGTTGCCATGCCGCTGTCCACATCACTACGGCGACTGCGATTGGTTCATCTCTGATGGTCACCGTCCTCAGGTATACGTGGTGCCTGCATTTGGCACAGAATGAGGTGCCCCAAGCGGATGCCATGGCTCACACCGCGGCTACCTCACCCTTTTTTTGGAAGTTTCGAGCCTCACACCTCCGGCATTCGGCTCGATGCTTCCCATGTTCCTACGCACAAGTTTTGTGCTTCAATATAATACATATATATATATATATACATATATATATACATCCATAGTCCCCTAGGGGTCCCATATCCCAACTTATCACGGTTGTTACCATAGCTCTACCGTGCTATACCCATGTTTTCACCCCCCAACTACTCACCAAGTTGCTGAAACGTTTACACGTCAGCCAGCGTTGCTCCTTGAGGTGACGGTCGAAGAAAAAATCAATACCAAGTGGGGCAACGAAGTAATCAATGGACACATACGGAGTGAGGGTCCTGAGGGTCCAAGGATCACTTAGGACGACTTTTTGGATCACTTAGGCCGACCGCCAAAGACTGGTAAGTTTGCATAATTCAAGATAAATCTAGTAAATGATGATGTTTTATTAAACTTTACAGACTTTACATTCCATTATATTCCATTTGCCAATGTTTGTGCACCGGGAGGCCAAGCACAAAAATGCCCATTGACCCACACATGATCATGTCATTTTTAAGCAAAGCTTATGAGCGAAGGCCAAGGCTTGCGCCTTCATACATATCATACAGTAGAGGTATCATACGAATCACATGATAAAGTTGGTAAGTGTTGATGAAGTCAACCAACATTCTTGGAGATACTGTTTGTTTGGTCTACGCCTTCATAATACGATAGTATCTTCAATATTGTTGGTTGAAATCGGTGACCGGTGATCCAAACTCCTCATGCTTTGTGGTTAGTGTTCGAGTTCGTCGGCGATAGCACCCACTTCTTCTTTGTTGCCTACAGGGTGGTGCCCCCAGCTATGTTTGGTTTATCAACCCCAGTAACTAGTAGAACTATTTCCATAGTCCATATATATATATATACCATAAACAGTGAATAAACACCGAATAAACCATAGAATTCACCTGGGTCTAAACTAACTTGATCCTTTGGAAGGCCCACCTGACAAAACAGGTGGGCCTACCTTTGGTTTCAGTTCCCCTACGGCGGGCCTCAGTGAGGTGGCGCAGAACTTGTCGGACTTGATCCAGGGGCATGCGATGAAACTCCGCGGTGGCGGCCTTGCATATGGCTTTGTCTGGAAAATGGGAGATCTCAAAATCCAGTCATTCAAGAGGCTATTAAGAGATATCCTAGGATATCTCATTTTTCCCTATTAAGAGGCTATTTTGGGGGATATATGGTATGCCCCATTTTCAGACACACCCATATCCTGTCCAGGAAGGCGCCCCATTTTGAAATCAAAGGGGCACCCAAAGACTTCACTGCTCAAATATGGTTGAGTGCTCCATATCAGGGACATGATCCCCCACCACAACATCTGGATATGGGGTACTCAGGTCCCATCCTTACACTTTTACTGGGACGAACGCCTGGCCCCTGCAACCGCGCTGCGATGACCCGATCGAGGTCCGATGGCGATTGCTTGCTCTGCACCGGGGTCTGCAACGGAGATGGCGTTTCCTCCTCAGTCTCACCTGCGAAGCAAGGCTGGAAGGGCAATCCCAACGGATCCATTGGTTGAAGGCTAGTGGTGGAATGTAGCCCCAAAACTGATGCTTCAGCGTCACCAAGGTATGGGAAACTGATCGTTAGCGTTGGGAGGATCATGAGTGTCATGAACTAGTGGCAGACATTGTGATGGACCAGTGATCACCAACCATCACCAGATCGCCAAGTGGCTTTGGCTCGGCGACATCTCTTCCAAATCACCACCTCCTGAGGCGAGGCGTCAGAAGGATCCAATCTCCAGATTTCATGGGTTGAAATCCTCTGTTTCATGGTCAAATCATGGTGAAATCCCCATATCTTTGGGCTGTTTGGGCTTTGAAATCCTGTTTTTGCTCGTGAAATCCAGTTGCTGGTTCCGTCCCCTTAGCTCGATAGCTCCCCCGTGCTCCTAAAGCTTCCACCGCCTCCGGCCAGTGCAGCTCTTCTCGGGACTGGCCAGGCGGCAAGGCAGTGCTGAATCGTGGCTTTGGCCTTAAAAAAATGTCCGACCCTTATCATTCTGACATGGAAAGATCGTAATGATCACTGGTTCGGGGTGTCTTTAAAGACGTGAAATCCTGGAATTTGCCAGCGATATACTGGGAGTTTCTTATGAATGTTTCCTTCGACCAATTCTTCGAATTAAGGCAGCCATGTTGCTCTCCATGATCCAACTCTGAAGTAATCACTTGGAGGATCATTGCTACTTGGTACTTGGTAAGTAGTTAGACACAGATATGGTAAGTAAGTTCTCCAACTGGAATAATACTATTTGGTAGTGCCTTTCCGCCAATATCAAATACTCCCAAATGGGCCCCAAAAAATGGACAAAACCAATACCTTACCGGGTTTTCTAGATAATAATTTTAAGCTCAGGGGCAAGGGATGAGCTGGGAAAATTAACCCCACCTACCACCCCGAAAAATGATGTGGGACACACGTGCCTGTCCCACTTGAAACTCCTCGGAGTTGTTGTTCTGCGTCCTGATCTTGACGGTTTGTCCTGTCTCCGGTTTCTCGGGCCCCAAGTCCCTGTCCTGATCCAAAGGATGAACTCTTCCTACACAATGGACTGTGTCACAGGAACAGTTGCTTATGGTGTGGGGTATTGGCTAACTTATGATAAGCAACCATAAGTCAAAAATTGACTTTTTTGTCTAACCTTGGATGCTCTGTGCTCTGCCAAAAAAAAATCTAGGTGGGTAATGCTATCGCCCCAACTACAGCCAACAAAATTCGACCAGTTTCAGATATCATTCCCAGTCTCCAACCGTACAGTGATTAGCCCTAGTTAAAAATGTCTCCCAGTTAACCTCCACTTACAGTAATTCCCAGTTACAACCCAATTTGAGTACTGTATGTCGTTGCAACCCATTTATAGCTGATACTAGGATCCCCATCACCGGGTACCCCTGCCATGCGCCTTTGCACTTGGTGGTCAGGGACTTGCTGAACTTCTGCCGAAGTTCATCCTGACTCTTGACCTGCACCTCAAAAAGGATCAAATTTGAGCCATGGCGGTTGGAGGCGGTGAGATTAAAATATCACATGTTCAATGATCGCTGCATATCCTGTATGTCCTATGTAATTATCGGCTTATTACTGTATTTACATACATAATATATGTCATGTTATTTACCTATATAACTATGTATAATATATCATATAGATATGCAATGATATGCAATGTTTCCAAGTCCAGGCTTTTCCTATTCAGGGGTGATAGCACCAATTCCAGGCTCAAAAATCTGCTCAAAAGTGGGCGTGCTGATTCACCTTCCGCGTCGTAGCAAGAATATTAATCTTAGTGACCAGCGATGTTGATGTTGTATATAACCGAAAACACAGCTTGCCAGAGCCGATCAACCTCATGTCCACAGCAAACAAATCGCTGTACGGCGGGATAGTCATCCCCATATACCTGAAAAATGAGGAAAATAACATTGCATCCCATTGTCTATCAAAACCAAGAAAAACATGTTGTAAATCATAATTCTCCCTGAAACATCATAGGGGTATCGCACAGTCCGCGGTCTCCAAGGACGTCACCTTAATTAAGCCAAATCGTTCCGTGGCAAAGAGGGCCAGCAGGCGGTACATGCACAAGCGACGGTTGAAGGTTCCTGGGCGAGGTCCGCGGAGATATTTCACGGGATGGGATAAAACACCAACTATCCCAGGGATGATATCGGCTGAATGAGTTTGTCTCAAAATGCGGGATACACCAACTTAGAGCACTTTTTTCGGTGAAACTGAGTTTTTAATCATGGGATGCAATTTGGGGTTCGAAGAAATCTCGACGCAACGTTGGAAGCAATGGATGTTGGTGTTGATTCCCGAGCATGATGAAGCAGGGCGTTGAGGTCACAGCATGCATTTCGCCACATATTAAAAAGGTGGGATGCTCACTGGTGCCAGCTCAACAACTGCAGCCACCAATAGCGAAGCATCGAATCATGGTATTACACTGGGCCTAGTCTTGGTTCCCAGCCTGCAACGTACAATTCTTTCTGGTACCACACGACATCCAACATCTCAAGCGCCTTGGGTTCCTGAAGACAGGGGACCTCTCCACCGGCTGCCCTGGAATCTATACCTGTTGCTTCAATATGTTTCAATCCCCACCAGTAGAATCCAAATGGCCAGTGACTCACTGTTGACCCAAATTGCCAAGACATAGCTGGGGTTGCTGGAGCAATCATCTCCCAAGTTGGTCGATCTGCCCGCGGGTTGTCTAGATTTTTTTCAGGAAAAAAACCCAGCATCCCATATTTCATGGTTTGTCATACTTTTTTCCCGTAATCCGTAAATCCTCATAGATTGAATGGTTCATCTCCCATCCCAGGATCCCAGGATCCCAGGATCCCAGGATCCCAACTCCTCATCGCCATCCAACAGCTCTTTGGCGCTGGAGAGAACTTTCAGGCGCTCCTTGTTGGTGAGCTGTTCGCCGTCCTGGCGATCAAGCTGGTTGCTGCTAGTTGTGGATGTTCATTTATCCCAACCAAAAAAAAAGATTGAAAAAACATAGGTTTTCACTGATAGTGTTGGGAAAGAAAAAGATTTGGGAAAACCATCATGATTTATGGGGTTGACTCATTCCAATTTCAGTAACTCGAATAAGCCCGGGGACGCACGATTTGATCCTGGTGGTTTCATTGCCTCCAAAAAAAATCACCATGTGACATCCGTTTCCCAAGCAGGAAAATAAGATGGAAAAGATTGAAACAAAACAAACTTCGGCGAACACCCCAGGTCTTGCCATAGTTTCTGGTGAGCTGTGCCCTTGGGTGAAAAACCAGACCTCGAGGCACACTATTCCTGCTACCTAACACACCTTTTCCCATCGCTTTTTTCGATCAATTGCCGATTGGACATTGGTGGAGATGAGTTAAAATGAGTCACCCGTCGCCATGTAGGCATCTCTTGACAAAAAGATCAAAAATTGGGGACCCACGGTGCTTTCCCATGGCGGTCTAGTAGTCTAGTACCCTTCACCCATCGCATACCTCAGTCACTTCCGGGTACCTATGCTGTGATCCAACCAGGCTGCCAAACCTTGACGTATGGGGAAAAGCACTCCGAAATGCTATCGTGGGTAAAGCGCACATCCTGAAATTTGGCGGCATGGCGGAACCGTTTTTGGTGTCGGGAACCACTGAATAAAGGGGATACAACAGACAAAAACGATGGTCAGCAACAAAAAAGGGGCATACCATCAACAAGAATCATTGAGATTCGGCAACACAACCACCAAGATATGACAAAACGAGTGTCCCTTTGTTTTCACCATCAACTTCTCCTGCCACCCAAATGGTGGTATTGAAGGTATCATTCAGAAAAAAAATCCCTTGGGCCATCCCCCCATTCCAGAAGATCAGGGATTGCTTTTCATCCGAGTGTCTGTATGCCTATTCTGGTAGTTATAGATGTTGATAGATATTGTAAAATCCCCATGAAATCTTTCCGAAATCGAATTTTGGGCCATGAAATCCCCCCACATCCCGCCGGGTCGCCAGTGGCGACACGAAGAACTGCTTCCCGGGTGTCATCTCCTCCTGCCGCGGCAGCGGCGGCCGTATCACGGGCTGCTGCGTGCGGCGGCGCTTGGTCTCCCTTTGGAGCCTGGCGATGGAGGTGGGGGAGGAGGAGCTAGACTGGGTTCACCAACCGACATCAGGATATGATATTTTCAGATATGTATATATATATGACGTATATGATACATATATATATATATCATAACATATACATATAGATACATAACAATATCTAACATATACATATATTATAACTAACATTGTGTCTGCGTATATATGGCCAGCAACAAGGATGATTGCTGGGTAGCGATGCTCATCCCAACTGACTCATCTTATATCCTCAGTGCCAACTGGGATGGCCATCTAATCATGATCGCGGTCCATCCCATGTGTATAAACATACATATTGTGTGTATATATGTATATCAGTGGCGGACAAAACTACTTACTGCCCGCAATGGACATGGCCAAAGTCGTATCGGTTGTGAATGTTTTCGCACAAATTTTATTTTGTCGGTTACTCATATATTATACATCCTCATTGAAGACAAAATAAACAAACCATTGAACCACCCTTCACCAAGGTATACCCAGCGGAGTGATGATATTTCGTTTGGAAGCAAGGTGCACTCGTTCGACGCTTGACTCGTAATCACCAGCTACTGGCTGCAATACGAATGGTCATCCAAGCACATCAACACATGACCGGGTAATGCATATCTAGGCCCTTCGCTTGGAATTTGCTGTATTTTTTTCCACAACATTGGCAATTGCCTTGCAACTGAAACACGGCCAAAGAATGAACGGACCGTCCCAAAAAAGATCATATTTTACTGTGCATGTATTTCAACCAAACGGACCTTAGAAAACAGAATACTGTAATTCTGAAAAACTTTCCAAGTGGGTTTTAAGACATGCCCATCGTCGGCTGCTCATTTTTTTTAATTCACCACGTCTGCTTTCTTGTTCAAACCGAGGCACAAATAGTCCGGGAAGGGCGTGGTGCTGTCGTACTCTGCACGACACACAGGGCAAGGTGCCAGCCCTTAGTTCAATCACGGAATACCCTGCCATTTGCTCTCTCTGAACCCCCAATTCGCAGAGTTCCAGATTCTTACCGCCCATATGACATCTATGACATTTATGACATCTAAAATCGTGGCCCGAAATAATGTAATCCGTGATAACTTGTTCCATCATGGACGGAGAGCTTTTCAGGACCACCACTTGGTTGTCGCCGCCATTGTTGTCATCATCGTCATCGTCATCGTCATCGACATCGTCATCGTCATCGTCGTCGTCGTCGTCGTCATCATCATCATCATCATCACCATAGAACAAAAATTATGACATTTGCAATACCAAAATCTGAGATTTCCAGATCACCAGATCAGGTCTCACCCCATCGGCTTCATTTTGGCAAATTTTGTCCACCGCCGAGGTGCCCTGTTCTGCGTTGCGTTGGTACCAACTTTGCGCACACTTCAGGCAATGCGCGTGCGCGCAGGAACGCCTGCATTGGTGGACGTGAGAGGTTGATGTCAATGTGCGAATGGATGCACAAATATTGACAATACTAAAAAGGGTTCAATACAACCATGCCAAAAATGGAGACGCCAACAAAAACGCGGAGTTGGCCTGAAACTTATCAATAATCTCGTTTCAGCCAACAACAATTTTGCCAAATTGGGGATATAGCCTAGAACACAATGCAAAAAATGGGTGCTACAACAGATTTGACATCTGTTGTGCTTGGGCCACTCAAAACTGCCAATCAGGTTGGAATCCTCCTGTCAGTTTGAGGTGGTCATCCTGTCTTCCATCGGTGGTGTGCTGTGCTGCCATCCCTCACCTGTTGTTGATGAGCATCATCACCGGTGGGATCTCCTTCCGCTCCAGACGGGAGAAGGACTCCAAGCACACGCTGCATGGAGCGCTCATGTCCACCTCGTGCTCAGGGCACCAGGTGTCATCTGTTGTTGAGCCACTCCCCTGGAAAGAATGTAAGTCATTGGCGATGATGATCTGGAAATATCATAGTCATATTTGGTATTGCACATGTGATGTTTATGTTCTATTGAGGTGATGATGGTAATGATCATGCAGCTGATCCTGATGATGATGATGATGATGATGATGATGATGATGATGCTGATGATGATGATGATGATGATGAAAATGATGCTGGTGATGCTGATGATAACGATGATAACGATGATCATGATCATGATGATGGTGATGATGGTGATGGTGATGGTGATGGTGGTGATGGTGATGGTGATGGTGGTGGTGATGATGATGATGATGATGATGGTGGTGGTGATGGTGATGGTGATGAAAAATCATGGTGAATCATGATGAATCATGATGATTCATGATGAATCATGATGAATCAAGATGAATCACGATGAATCATGATGAATTATCATCATGATTGGACAGTTGTGACGTCCGATTCTTGACTCCACTCTGGCACCAAAGTTCCATCCCAACTTGGCATCCGACTCGGTCGCATTGATGCCCTGGCATTTCCTTTTGTATCAGTTCCTTACAGGCCAGGAATCGCTGGCATCGCTAGGTAAAGGGGAAAACGTTTGTATAGAAATACATGAATATATAGATTGTAGATCTACATACGCGCATTTGTGTACATAGGTACACGTAGATAGATGTATATAAACATATGTAAACACACAATGATATGCTTTAAAAACAAGTGTATATTTGTGCGTGTAGACACGTGTGTAAAGATGTAGCTGATGCGACAAAATAATCCCGTCGGGGGGAAAACCGCGCCAGCGCTTTGAGCGTTTGAAAAAAAAAAAGTTGTTTTCGCCAAAGCGAAACTACTGGTTCATTCCCCAAAATACGCTTAAAATTCCCCAGGAATTGGAAGTGGTTTTTTGATGATGACCTGTAATTTACAGGGAATTTGTTCCTGAAAGGTGCGCGGTGTTTTTTTCCACCTTACATCGCCATACGGTTCTTCAAGGCGCGACCAGTGAGCTCCAAAAGACTTTTGGTCTTGGAGTTCATCCAACGCCATTGCCACACCCTGATGCTTCGCATCAATTTTGGGTTAGCATGGCCGTTGGATCTGGTCGAGAAATTGCATGGTATGGCGGACTTTCATAGTCACCACACCGCAGTGACGCAAGTTAACATGAACGTTGACATCCCCACCCCCCAGCCCAGTGACGTAACGTCAGATGTGCATGTGACGCAGGTTGACATGACTGTTTACATCCCCACCCCCCCAACCGGGTGACGAAACGTACGATGTGCATGTGACGCAAGTTAACATGAACGTTAACATCCCCAACCCCCCAAACCCGGTGACGAAACTTACGATATGCATGTGAGGCAAGTTAACATGAACGTTAACATCCCCATCCCCCTCAACCCAGTGACGTAACGTACGATGTGCATGTGACGGATAAAAAAGGTGTGATTTTCAAAAACGGTCAAAACGCTGGCGCGGTGTTCCCCCCGCTGGCAAAAACATGAATGTATCCTTCATCTAAACTGCCGCAGGCAGCGCAGGCCGGTTTCATCAACAACATCTCCAAGCAAAGAAATATCCAAAAGATGTTACTATGCAAAGAGACTATATCAGTAACCCTAAGGTTAGTTGGATATTGTATAAATATACAGATGAAGAACTATATAATCTGCACCCTTCTTCAAGCTGAGCAAAGCTGAGGACCAACCGCAAATGGGTCACTGAGTGCCAGGTTTTTTCGGCTACTGTCCCAGCAGCAACAGCAGTCTCAGAACCGATGGTCCACCTGGACCATTTCAACTGGGAAATGAAGTTCTAAACTTCCAGCATGTTCCCCTAAATGGTCAGGTACCACACCCAATTCATGACTGGTTCATCCCAATTTTGCTTCAAAGCCCAAAAAAAAGGTGCTGGGTTAAAGAAGGTAGGTCTAACGAGTCTAACGTCTCAGGTATGTTTTACTCTCAACCCTCAGCACCCTCGGCCAAGGGTCCATCAGGCAGTGAGTGCAGGTCACCTTCAAATAGAGACACTTCAGCCTATGGTCCGCTTCGCTGCGCCGGAAGCCACTCCAGCCACAACCATCGTTCTGACAGCGCACCAGGCCGCACTCCTCAAAAAAAGGGTGGGATCCCCAACAGGAAAGTGTGACAGCCGTTGAAGTGCCTATCCAAGATTTGAATAAATATAGTTGTAGTTGATCTCAACACCTATAAACCTGAACGTAGAAAGCCGAAAGGTTCTGAGTTGCTATCGGGCGGCACATTGGCACAGCTGGTGGTAATTCAGGTCTTTGTACTTCATAGGGGCGTCGCACTTGTCGCAGTTCACATCCCGATTTTCGCATTCATCTCCTCACATCTCAAACAATTGCATGCCCCCAAACATCAACTTGTGAACAGCAGAGTGATGGACCTGTACTAAGAACAAGTCTTAGTTCAACCTAATGGCTTGGCAAATTGCCTTTGGAAGGACTCCATTGTACGCCGTTGCAGAGAATCCTTAGCGAGTCTCCAAAACACACAGTTGCTGTATAGTGGTCTTCTTCTTTTTCAGCGGCAAGTGCTGGTTCCAATCCACCTGAAACATCCTGAAACATGTTAGTGGCGGCAATGTGTACGTATGTACGTACATACATATGCATATTACTAATACAATGATATATAATATAATATATTATATTATAATATAATATAATATAATATAATATCATATAATATAATATAATATATAATAGAATATAATATAATATAACAGAATATGATATAATATAAAATAATAGAATATAATATAATATAATATAATATAGTATAATTACATATACATATACATATACATATACATATACATATACATATACATATACATATACATATACATATACATACACATATAAATATACATATACATATACGTATAAATGTACATATAAATATACATATATAATTATCATCCACATCCATACCAGTGTTTGGAGTTTAGAGTGAGGTATGTCAAAATATACACATACAGATATGTATATATCCCACGTTCAGCTATAGCTTTCTGTGGCATGTCCAAGGCTCTCATGTGCTTCTCCAAACTCCCGAAACTGCAATGTGTCTTGCATAATTTGCAGGGCACCTTGCGCAGGGCTGTCTGCTGATCATCCCATAGCCAGATCACAGGAATGTGGCAAGTTCTGCTAGGTACCAGGAGCAAAAATGTGAAAAGAACTAAAAGAACCAATGATGTCCAATGATAAACTATCAATGTGGGTTGGAAAATCAATTCGTAGCTCCAACTGGCTCCCCTTTGTTCAAAAGGATTCTATTGGATACTCATAGCCCCCTGCATGGAGCCAAATAGGTGTCTGTCACGCTCTTACTTTCACCTGATCATTTTTTCTGGGGAAGAACTAGCATTGTCAGTTCTAAGATGCTTTAAGTAGGATTCAGAGGGGAGATAGCGCACTTGTGAAGTATCCAAATGTAGAGAAAATCTATCACTTCACTTGACCGTTTGTTTTTGTAGTCTTTTCTGGGTTCGGCGATTGTAGGATGCAACAAAACGCCATTTCCCCCATACATATACAGTACATGTGGTACCCCCCTTGTGGTTTGTTACTTTCCAAGAGTCCAAGAACGTATCGTAGAGTCGTAGAGAGAGTCATCCCCCTCCATCCCCCTGCTGTTCAACGCAACCTGCCGTTGTGGACACTTCTTCTTATGGTTTTTCAGCTTCTCCACTCGCTGATGGCCTCGGGTCTTAAGGATCTTGAAACATCAACGGACGAACCACTTCAAGCACTTTCACCAAATCTGTATGCGTTCAAGCCACACGTGGGGCAGATTTCCCCCCGCGGTGCCGGCACCGCCTGCGGGGCCTTCTCAGCCTTCGCCACCGGCGGCGGCGGTGCCGGTGGCGGCACCGGGGCCGGCAACAGCGGCCGCAGGTGCCGGTGCTCCTCCTCCATCGTTCGGCCAGCGTCTGCTTCGCCCAGATAGGCACAGCGCAGGGCGAAGATCGCCGGTTCCACCTCAGGGATCAATGATCAAAACCTATTGTAGTACCAGGTAGCAACCGCCCAAAAAAATAGAAAAGTCCATTCGGTCCATTTGTCACTGCGCTACTATTTTACTGGGATTTTACTTTTCTATCTTTTGGGTTTTTGGGTTAGCAACCCCTTAGGGGGGCCACTGACCCAGCGCCACCTTGCTCTTGTCTTCGTGGCCGCAGGCGCAGGGAGATGGCGAGGAGACCAATGCAACAGCTTGCCTGGGCAGCCAAGGACTGGCGTGATGGTATTGGCCATGGAGTAACCACTTGTTCTTGATGACCAAAGAACAGATGGACCAACTGAAAAAGTCTGAATTTGGGAACCCTTTGAGTAGAAGCCAATTTGACCTACATGGAAGCACTTAAGGCAGAACACACCCGATTGTTATACTGATTCGGCTCTTTCGCTCCTTTTGGTTGAGCTGTGGCATCTTGATAAGCAAAGCTGCGCCAAAGAAGTGTTGATGTGGATTATCACGGCGTATTGAACAACCTCAAACCATTGAATATATAAATATATATACAGACACATATAGTTATGTATGTGTATATATATATATGCATATGTATATGTATATGTATAAATATATATATACATATATGTGTGTACATATATATATGTATATATACATACATACATACATACATAGATACATACATACATACATACACACATACACATACATACACATACATACACATACATACACATACATACACATACATACACATACATACACATACATACACACATACACATACATACATACATACATACATACATACATACATACATACATACATACATACATACATACATACATACATACATACATACATACATACATAAATACATACATACATACATTACATACATACATACATACATCACATTACATTACATTACATTACATTACATTGCATTGCATTGCATTACATTACATTACATTACATTACATACATATATACATATATACATATATACATATATACATATATACATATATACATATATACATATATGTATATGTATATGTATATATATATATGTGTAATTGTATGTACAATAAATATATATATATATGTGTGTAATTATATGTATGTATATATATACTGTATATGCTAATATTTTATTATTTGCTAATATTTTATATATTTGCTAATATGTGCTAAACATAACCAGTTTTCATGGCTTCAGGTTCCGCACATGTCAGACAGCTGTTTTGCCAAGTTGCAGGCACCACACACGGACTTTCAAAAGAAAGCTCAAGTCAGGGGCGTTTCGCAACAACGAAGCGCAACCCGTGATGCAGCTTGAGATGTCTCCCACTTTGTAGTTTTGTAAACATTCGTTAAAATCCTGGAGAAATCATAGTGAGGTCGGTGTGCGGGGAAGTTGCTGTTTCGTGGAATCCAAGAAATTCATTGATTTAAGGCAACATCAGGGTCACCAGTGTTACAGCGTATCCTGTGCGGCTGTTCCGTCCTCCGCATCATCGTCATCATCTTTGATCTTGCGATCCGCACCGGTAAGTGGAAACCATTCCTTGGTCATTTCCAGTGGCAAAATGGTTCTTTTTAACAACCCTTTGAAACCCTTTGTCATTGTGGACCTGGCCGCAATGGCTTCCTGTCACCTTCTAGCAATCTAATATGACAGGAAAAAAAATCTCATCTATATATATATGATTTGCTTCTAGAAAATAAGATTCCCAGTCACTATGTGTTTTGTTGCTGGACGGTATTTCTTCGACTCTCCGTGTAAAATCTGAAGGATCCTCAATGATTGACTGTCTTTGTTTCACCATGTCTGTCTGCTACACCTTCATGTCAGCTGGTACTGTTTCCAGTTTCACATCATTCATGTTTACTCGATCTTTTTCTTGGAAATAAATGTCGACCACCAGTCTGTTTGCCGCAAGATCCCCTTCACGCCCAACATTTGGACCATTTATCGCATCCCAAAATCTGGTTGTAAAAGAAGGTGCTTTTCCATCAGCTTAGGCCCAGAAAGGTGGCAGAACCATCTGCGATGTTGCGATGTTTGAAATTCCACAGGTCAGACATGATATCCCACCTATCAAGGGCTGTCAAACATCACCCCTTTTTGTTGGTCCCAGTTCCAGCAAACCCCATGTTCATTGTATCTCGGTCTTAGTTTTTGTATCTACTCACTCACTCACTCACTCACTCACTCATTCACTCACCTGTGCATGCGCATACATACACACATACACAAAAACTCACCCACCATCACCCCTCCATCACTCTTATACTTCCTCTTCCCTTCTTGCTTTTCTATGCTCAGTCTAAGTCTAGAGAAGTTGGTAACATGTGGGGTTATCCGGTCCTATAATTTTAGGCCATAAATCCCAATTGTATTGTGTTTCTCCGAGAAAAAAATCAAACTTTTTGCTAGTGAGACGCGCTCACACTGGATTGAACCTGCTTGAATCACCATTTTCTGCGAAAATCCCCGAGTTTTCCCAGATCGGGATGCCAAAAACGTAACAAAAACGGGTCCCAGGCTCTGGCGTCGGAAGCTGAAGGTGCAACGAGCCTGGCCATGGAATCCTTCGGCAAAGTGGCCACCGGCATTGTGGCGCCTCGGAGCTGATACCCCGGTTATATATGGGATATTCATGGATATTCCCAGTTAGATCAGGAGGTGAAAAAAACCACTTACTGAGTGGGATACACATCCAAGTTTTTTTCAAAAGCCATTGGTTTTTGATGTTTTATGCAAACATTTCAGAGAAAACCAACTAACAAAGGGGACACGATGGGGATTGAGCTTTGCTTTTTTGATCGAGAAGAACTCAACATGGGTGGATGGGTCGGTGGGTCGGTGAGTGAGTGAGTGAGTGAGTGAGTGAGTGAGGCCAAAAACGTAACAAAAACGGGTCCCAGGCTCTGGCGTCGGAAGCTGAAGGTGCAACGAGCCTGGCCATGGAATCCTTCGGCAAAGTGGCCACCGGCATTGTGGCGCCTCGGAGCTGATACCCCGGTTATATATGGGATATTCATGGATATTCCCAGTTAGATCAGGAGGTGAAAAAAACCACTTACTGAGTGGGATACACATCCAAGTTTTTTTCAAAAGCCATTGGTTTTTGATGTTTTATGCAAACATTTCAGAGAAAACCAACTAACAAAGGGGACACGATGGGGATTGAGCTTTGCTTTTTTGATCGAGAAGAACTCAACATGGGTGGGTGGGTCGGTGGGTCGGTGAAGTGGGAAGGGAGGGGAGGGCAGGGAGGGAGGGAAGGAGGGAGGGAGGGAGGGAGGGAGGGCAGGGATGGGGGGGGGGGCGGGGGGGGGGGCTCTCTGGGGGGGGGGGGGGGGAGTTGGATGGGAGTGGGGACGGGAAGGGAGGAGGGAGGGAGGTGAGGGAGGGGGGAGGGAAGGGGAGGGGCGAGGAGGGGCGGGGAGGGGAGGGAATGGGGGGGAGGGGGGGAGGGAGGGAGGGGAGGGAGGGAGGAAGTGAGGGAAGGGAGACGGGGGGGAAGGGAGGGAGGAGCGGAGGGGGAGGGCGAGGGACAGGATGGGAGGGAGGGAGGGAGGGAGGGAGGGAGGGAGGGAGGAAGGGAGGGAGTGAGGGGGGAGGGAGGGGAGGGATGAGGACGGGAGTGAGGGAGGGAGGGAGGAAGTGAGTGAGTGAGTGAGTGAGTGAGTGAGTGAGTGAGTGAGTGAGTGAGTGAGTGAGTGAGTGAGTGAGTGAGTGAGTGAGTGAGTGAGTGATTGAGTGAGTGAGTGAGTGAGTGAGTGAGTGAGTGAGTGAGTGAGTGAGTGAGTGAGTGAGTGAGTGAGTGAGTGAGTGAGTGAGTGAGTGAGTGAGTGAGTGAGTGAGTGAGTTGAGTGAGTGAGTGAGTTGAGTGAGTGAGTTGAGTGAGATGAGGACGTGAGTGAGTGAGTTGAGTTGATGGAGTGAGTGCGTGGGTGGGGGGGGACGGGGTGAGTGGGTGAGGTTGGGTGAGTGGGTGGTGGGTGAGTGGGTGAGTGGGTGAGTGGGTGAGGGGTGAGTGGGTGAGTTGGGTGTGAGTGGTGAGGGGGTGAGTGAGTGAGTGAGTGAGTGATGAGTGAGTGAGTGAGTGAGGCGGGAGGCGAGGTGAGTTGAGTGAGGTGAGAGGATGAGGAGGCGCGACCCCTGGCCAGTGCACATTGTCCCACGCCTGCCACGCAAAAGAGGCGGAGCCCGAGGGACGCCAGGGCGTACATCCGACCCCTTGGCAGTGCACATTGTCCCACGCCTGCCACGCAAAAGAGGCGGAGCCCGAGGGACGCCAGGGCGTACATCCGACCCCTTGGCAGTGCACATTGTCCCACGCCTGCCACGCAAAAGAGGCGGAGCCCGAGGGACGCCAGGGCGTACATCCGACCCCTTGGCAGTGCACATTGTCCCACGCCTGCCACGCAAAAGACGCGGAGCCCGAGGGACGCCAGGGCGTACATCCGACCCCTTGGCAGTGCACATTGTCCCACGCCTGCCACGCAAAAGAGGCGGAGCCCGAGGGACGCCAGGGCGTACATCCGACCCCTTGGCAGTGCACATTGTCCCACGCCTGCCACGCAAAAGAGGCGGAGCCCGAGGGACGCCAGGGCGTACATCCGACCCCTTGGCAGTGCACATTGTCCCACGCCTGCCACGCAAAAGAGGCGGAGCCCGAGGGACGCCAGGGCGTACATCCGACCCCTTGGCAGTGCACATTGTCCCACGCCTGCCACGCAAAAGAGGCGGAGCCCGAGGGACGCCAGGGCGTACATCCGACCCCTTGGCAGTGCACATTGTCCCACGCCTGCCACGCAAAAGAGGCGGAGCCCGAGGGACGCCAGGGCGTACATCCGACCCCTTGGCAGTGCACATTGTCCCACGCCTGCCACGCAAAAGAGGCGGAGCCCGAGGGACGCCAGGGCGTACATCCGACTGAGTGTGAGTGTGAGTGTGAGTGTGAGTGTGAGTGTGAGTGTGAGTTTGAGTGTGAGTGTGAGTGTGAGTGTGAGTGTGAGTGAGTGAGTGAGTGAGCGAGCGAGCGAGTGAGTGAGTGAGTGAGTGAGTGAGGACGGGAAGGAGGAGGAGGAGGAGGACGAGGAGGACGAGGAGGACGAGGAGCGGATACAGAACTAAAAACAAAAACCCCACACGTCAATGTGGGGAACAAAAAAACATGGCAGATGTTGTTGGAAGGTGCGTTTCGGCGCCGTCGTCCCAGTGCGTTTCGCAGCTGGTGGTTGAGCCACACCGTGAGAGATATTGTCAGCTGGGATGATCCAGGCATTTCTAGGGTTGAAAATATAAATGTTTGAAACCATCAACCAGTCTCAGTCTTGTGACAAAATCCAGGGCGAATCTTCTGTCACATTCGATCCCTCGACATACAGGTACATCGGTGTTTTGAATTGCAGTCTAGATGTTCGCATATGTTCACATGGATGTTGCTTGGTGATATCACCCAGTCATCCTTTAGTTGTGGCCCAAGCAGACCATGCCCATGAACGGCCTCTTTCCAATAAAATCCAATCTTGGTTGGTGAGATCCCCTTCAAAAAACGCCAAGATCATTGGTGTGTTTTGTCGGTTTGTCTTAAATATGCACGCACCAAAAATGCCGGAGCATGGTAGCTTAGTGAAAGTCAACGAGTCAATGCAATCAGCATGATGGTACAGCTTCAGCTGGGGGCCGGAGGGCACCCAACTTGGGCCCCGAATAACAACTTGGTGCAGGCGGTGCTCGTCACCGCATAGGGTACCCCAACCTCATCAGTTTCCCCATGAAAAACAACTGACGACCATTTTTGAACCCACTAAGTCACTAAGTGTTGTTGACCAAGGCACTTTTTTCCATTCTCTCTCCAGATTTTGTCTCGCTTTCTGAGCTTCCGGAGAAGGGATCTCCTTCTGGTGGCAGAGACAGAGAGCATGCGGAGAATTCTTGGCAACGAAAATGTGGATTGTTTCCCAACCAAAAACAGAAAGAAGAGATTCATCCAGCGAGAATGAGGGTTTAATCCCAAATTCTGGGCAAAATTGCTGGATCCCCAAGAATGAGGACCACGTTGGCAGAATCCAAGATCTGAAGCTGGACCCATTTCCCCCGCGCACCTGGTAGGGCATGAGCTCGAGGAAAGCCCTGGGATGGGGTGGCATTACTTGGGATTCACACCCCTTGAATAGAAACTGTTAGTCAACATTCACCGTCTGAGATCTTGAAGAATAAACGACAATCCAGAGGGATGGCAACTCAGAGTTGAAGCCTAGATCAAAACAGTGAAAATTCTGTCGTTGGGAATGGAGGTGTTATCCCTGTGATTCACCTCTTCACCGACCTATCTGAACCTCAAAGTCTCAAAGTATCTGCTTCCAGTGGATTTTATCAGCATGCCAATCATCAAACAAAGGCCAGGCTGCTCAAGGCTCCCTGCTGAAGTTTGTGACTCCTGCCAAGCATAGCCAACCGCAGCGGCTTGGCAGCAAGGGGACCAACATCAAGCGATGGAAAAGGAGTAGACTTTAGCGATGGTTGGTGCCCATGCCCAGAAAACATTGTGAGCTCCCCATCTTGCAAGGAAAAACTTAGAGACAAGTCCCCAAGTTGGGCGGTGCAAAACCTGTTCCAAGTGACACCTGCAACTTCAAGTTGGCAAAAGATATGTAATCCGCAGACCCAGTTGGTAAGACAGACCGAGGGTTGGCTAAAGATGGACCCAGTAATATGTCATGAAACGACAATCGCGTTACATGTTTTCACCAACAACACCATAGTATCTCCAGTTGCAACAAGACTTGATGCCAAAAGGTCGATGGATTCAAAGCTAAGGTCCTTCTCTGCCGTTGAGGAATGATAGGTGATTTCCCAACCCACATCGCCACAACATTGATGGGAACTCATTGTACAGTGCTGGACGTGCCGTTGGGTGCCTCCATTTAACAAATCTGGCGATGGAAAAACTGCTATTCAGACACATGTTATGGATGGTACCCTCTGGTAAACTAACGTAGCTATTGAAAATCACCATTTTTAATGGGAAAATCCACTATAAATGGTCATTTTCAATAGCTACGTTAAATTACCAGAGGCTATTCCCTTCAAAAATGGGTTTTTCCAGTCAGCCAAGTTCACCAGAAGGGCAACTACTGAACAAAATTCACCGGGACTGGATGGTCCCGCTGAAGTACTAATAGCTGACAAAAGATGGAAACTCTTGGGTTTTCACCAACAACAAAGGAGGGGGCAATCAAGCAAAATGCGGAGTTCAATACACAAAGACAGAGATGTCATCCAGTTTATCAGCTGATAGCCCCAGCATCCAGCATCCACCCCAGACTCCTGCTCCTCACTGTTTCTAGGTGTGCCGCGACTCAAAGACTTGGTTTTAACGGTTGGAAATTGCTCAGTTCAGTTTCTGTTGGCCAATGAGTGCCTCGTTGATATCCCAAAAGTTGGGATCGTTTGAAGCAATCAACCATTGCAGAATCGTACCTTGAAAGCCCCCACTATCACTTGAGGAGAGGTAGGAATATACAACAGGATATACAAACATAAATAGTTTCGAATCATGCACCTTTCAACAGTATAGGCCTTTATAGATCTCCGCAAATACCTCCCGGACAGATGCCATGGAACCAAGCTGCGGGCCCAGGGAGGATCAGATTCATTTCTTGTCCAAGGCAATGCATCTCATCCCCAACTAATTCGGAAACAAACACATGTGGATACATGTCGATATGTGTATGTATATTTATCTAGAAGTATATTTTTGTATAGATATATTTAGATATTTTTTTTTTGCAGACTGCTTGAAGAGGCTGTGACACCGCGGCAGCTGGCTGTTTCTGAATTCAAACGATGGGAGGTTTCGGTTCACGCCTCATTTCTGTGCGCAGTCAGGTCCTATGGTAGTACCATATGTGTGGCAAACCATGTTGGACAGACGTTCTTTAACGTCGACTGGAAGAGGGTGCCTTCCTTCCATCGGTGAGATGCTGTCATGCAAAAAATCGGCAAAACTGGCAGCTAGTGCGCTGCACAGAGCCGGAGGATATTCCTTCAAAACAGATGTTTTGAAGTGGCCATGCTTGTCAAGGCCAATGGAACGTCCGTGTGGTAACTCCGCACTGATTGCATGCTTCCGGATCTCAAAGGGCAGATTAGGAAGATTGAGGACCAGAAGTGTGGTACTCTTGGTGCTGTCCGCTCCAAGCAAGCCCTGTGCAAAAGTGACCTTGTCGAAGCCTGGAAGTTGCAAAAGCAGTTCAATCAGCGGGAGCTTCCAAATGCTTGCGCTATCCGGATCCTTCGGCTCGGCCGGATGTTCCAGAACGCCGGCGCCATCAACCTGCTCCAGAAGCACCATGCAGAGTATGCTGAAGGCCAGCAAACGATGTCCATCCATGATCTGCATCTTCTCCTTGAGAGATAGGGACCAGAAGCCCCAGAGCTCCATGGCAGATCGTATGGGTCGTGGGCCGGTGCGTCCCTGCTGTTTCATCTGTTCGTCAATCTTCCCTCTGGCAGCCGACCACGTGCAACAGGGTGGCCCTCCAAGGACACCCTGTACATATCCAGATTTGATGGAATGCATCCAGAAGTCATACGTGGCCGGCTTGCTGATGTCGCCCCACTCCTGGTCGATGATCAAGTCAAGGGAGACGACGAAAAGGAGGTTCAGGTTCTTCCGGATGGCCACAGCCTCAAGGAACCACTGGAAATCTCCCGGCCTCCGCCGGCCGGAATAGGCGTGTACAATGACACGTTCTTGAAAATGGACCCTGGGCACTTGGTCTCTGGTCAGTCGGGCATTCGGGTACTTCTTCAGCTCGTGGCACCAGTTTTCATAATGCTCGAGGTGGAGATCACTCATGCAGGCTGGTTCGCATAGGTCTTCTCGAAGGAAGCTCCAATTGCGATAGTCTGCCAGACGGTACAGGATCTGCCTCCAGTCAACGAGGTCGAGCTCGGCCAGTTGGGCGTCCTCGTCCGTCAGCACTTCCGCAATGTAGTGGAGTGTGCGTTTCGTCATAGTCCAACTCACTGTCTGCTCCATGATCTTGTCCCGCAGGGCATCGAAGAGGTCGCAGTCTGGGTGGTCCTGATGATCGAAGCATCTGGTGACCAAGGTCTCATAGAGGTGTAGGTGATATCTGTCATCTTCTTGGGGGTATCGTCGTTCATCATGCGGTCCGTGTGCTTGTAGAGGTGGCAGTAGCCCATCATGTCGTTGGTGCAGCTGCTCATTCTCTATAGAGCCCTTGCCTGGCGCAGGGACTGGATGTCGGCATTGTCCTTGAAGGAGATGTCGGCATTCCTCTGTACATCGCAGGTGTTGTTGTAGCTTGGCGAAGGTGTGGTACTCACGTAGGCAAGCTGGGCACGAAGTACCATTGTAGAGCCAGCGAATGGGCGCAACGATGCCGTGAGCTCTGAATAGATGGGCCCCCTCTCCTCCATGACTCCGGAATCTTTTTCGGCATGTCATGCAGCCATATACCTCGTAGTCCTGATCAGGGGCTCGATGATAATGCTGCGGTCGATATGCCAAAGGGCCGGTTGCCTCCAGATGTTGAAAGGCTTCTCGATGAAGTCGGAGTAGAGCATGATCTTCCTTGTGAAGGATTTCCAGCTTAGTGGCCCTTTGTAGGAGTCTTTTCCAGTATGTGCGGTGGTAGCGGAGAACATTTTCCCAGGCCGCAAAATTGAGAGCTGGATCAGGAAGCTTGGTCGTCGACTGGATCAGTCTCCATAGCCATTGTAAATCGTCCCTGACCAGTTCAAGCCATGTCGTGTCCGCACAAAATACCGCCCATGGTGTAACTTGTTCGCATTTGTAGAGTAAGGCAACGTACCGTAGTCGAGCCACACGTAGTACCGTGGTAGGAGATGGCAGATGCAAGCGGTTGAGGATCTCGTCGTCCGTGATCTGTTGATTGTGTGGCAATTTCAGGATACGTCGGTACAACCTAATGTATGCACTGTGGAAGTAGTGCTTGTTGGCCTTGTCCATGAGCGTCCACGATTCCGTACCGTAGAGCACTTTGCTGGCGACCATGGTCTGGAAGAGTTCACTTCGCTTATCCAGAGAAAGGCGGCCATTTTGGTAGAGCTCCCTGCGGTGTTGGGTGAAAGCTGCATGTCCCTGTGCCACTTTCTTTCGCATCTCTTGGCGGGTTTCTCCGCTGTGATGGACAAGTCCTCCGAGGTGTTGATATTGTCCAACCACCGAGATGTATTGGGCACCACTCTCAGTCAAAACGTGCAACTGGCCTGAACTGTGTGGGCCGAAGTATTTCTGACGTAGGGCACGCGTGCCTTTGCCACGAAAGCTGAATAGGACTTCACTTTTACCCTTCTGGAGGTTTGGTGTAACACCGTGGTATCTGCATGCACCCAGCAGGATGCCGCATGCGGTGCTGGCTTGAAGTTCAATGGCCTGTGCGTTCTGTGCTGACAGGGTGATGCACAAGTCATCCATCCACGTGGGCCCCATGTGATGTTGCATGGCTTGTGGATGTACTTCGGAGAACAGCCCGTGGTCAACTGGTCCTGGAAAAGCCTCAATCAGACCTGCTTCCAGCATCTGTGCCTCCACCGTCTTGAGGATGCGGGCGAACATGTAGCCGAATACTACGTCCGCAAAAGGGTCACCTGGACGAGTTCCAACGGCTGTTCTGACGTAGTCCTGTTGTCCTGCCATCCAGAAGTAGGTGTCTGTATGCAGCGCTTGCAATGCAGTCTGAAAGTGGCAGGGCAAACCTGCCATGGCCGTGGCTGGTGGCATCTGCAGTAGTTGAAAGAGGTCATGTAGAACATCTTGATCCAATCTCAACCGTTGTGCCACCTGCCCAAGCGCATCATCAGTGATTGGGCCACCAACTGCCAGGGGACGGAGGACTCTATAGAAAGCTTCTTGAAGATCTAAAAAGATCAGCGCCGAGGATGCACGGTGTTCTTTGGCTCGGCGTAGTGATGCTCTTACATGATGTACTCCCAGTCCCACTGGAACCTTCTTTCGTCCTCCAAGTTGGTTCTGTTGTAAGAACTTCTCATAAAGGCTGGACTGTGTCTCTCTCAGAGCTCTGTGTAGCGTCTTGCAAACGTGCGAGCTAATCAGCAGTGATCGATATGAGCTGCATTCATGCTGCGCACCTTTCTTCTTCCATGCGGAGACTAAGAGGCCTCCCTTGTGCATGAGAGACTCTTGACCGTGGGCAACCAACTTGAGCATCTGAGTGAAGGTGAGGCGCGCCAGCGTAGTTGGTTGTCCGTGACATAGTTCAGGGGGAATGTTGTCAGCTCCCGTTGCTTTGCCAATACGGACACGGCGATACGCCCTTTCCAGATCGACCAATGTTGGAATGTCCTCCGGACCTAGCCGAAGGTGCTCTGGGACAAAGTCACACAGATTGCGTCGCCATTGGCGATAGAGTTGTTCTTCATTCATTCTGGTGCCTCCTTCCATGGCTCCAAAAAAGTTGACCCATCTGTCGAGAAGTGCTTGTGGGTTGCTGCATGGCCGTCCGTCCTCATCATGCACAATCGGCAGTGGGTTTTCTCTTTTGTGTCTCAGGTTGGTAGGCCCAATGATTGGCTTGAGCTTCTGTAGAATGGTACTTGAATGAGAGTCAGCTGGCAATGCGTCGATGGCATCGTGTAGTGCTTGTCCTCGAGCTTGTCTCAGTCTTCTGCGTAGAATGCAATTAGTGAGTTGGTACTTGACGTCCAGCTTAAGGCGGGCACACCAGAGTGAAATGTTAAAGTCTTCTCCTGGTAGTTCTCCTTGTGGTTCTGTCGGGGATTGCTTCCAAAGGGTGAAGACTTGTGCCAGCAGTTCGCGATATTGCATTCGTCGCAGTTGCCGTGCCCGACGCCCAGTCTGGATCTTCTGCGTTCTCAGTTGCCAGATCTCCTCTGTGATGAACGGCTTTTTCGGACCTTGTCGTCGGCGAGGGCAATGCTTCTTCAAAACTTGCTGGAGATGATCATTGCAGTGTTCAACTTGTTGAGCAATGTCAGTAGACCACTCAGGCGGAATGTAAGCCAGCAAAGACATCTTCAATGGGCTCGTGAGAATGGAACCTCTGTCAAATGCAAGCTGTCGCGTGCGACGGCTGCTCGTCATGGTTGTGTATTGCTTCCACTGTACTTCAAGGCCCACGGCTGTATGGTCCCCAATGTTGCCAAGGTCAAGTTCAGGTATTGTTCTTGACAGAGTGCAAGTTCCCAGCCAAGAGATGGGAATGGCGACAAAGTCAATACGGTGTCCACGCTCCGTGGCAGGACAGATCCACGTGTCATGTTCACCTTGATGGCAACCACTTGTAGCTGGCAAACACAAGCCATGGGCTGTGAGCAGCTCTCGTAAGAATGGAGTACCACTTGTGGTTTTGTCGTCAAACTGGAAGATGTGCTGGTCATCATTACTGCCCGTAGCAGCATTGGCATCAAGCATGATCACGATGTCATGTCCGCTAGTTGCTTCCTGCAGAAGCATCTGAAAGTCGTGCCACCATTCTTCTCTTTCCTTGTGTGCGATGCCACTTTGCGGTGCATACGCAACGGCGAGCCAGAAATTCAGGTACTCATTTTGGACATGCGCGATGAGGTAGCGAGGACTGGTGTGTGTCACAACAACATGGGATTTGTCAAAGCAGAGTGGTTTGCCATTGCGCCATCCATATGGTTGCTCCAGGTTAAGCCACAGCTCGACTCCTTGCTGTCCCTGACGATCACCGCTAGCTAGACGGAGCACCGCTTCCATGGTGGAAGAGCCTTGCCTTGTTCTTGTCTCTTGTAAGCCAAGGAAGTGCAAGTTCAAACGCTTGAACTGGTCCCTGATATAGTGGAGTTTACCGGGTACACCATCTTGTCCTTTGTAGAAGGTTCTAACATTCGCTGTCGCAAAGCTGAGAGCGATGGAAACTTCAGAAAGATTTTGGGGCTTGTCCTTCAATGGTCTGGAGGAATGGCAAGTCCTCCTTGACATAGTCTCGGGACGTCCTTGTCCTGGGACAGGATCAGCCATAAGATGCTCAAGATGCTGCCGAAAGTTCTCATGTTGACCTCTTGGCGAGGGAGGTACAAGCTGTTCTTGGCTTCCAGTTTGGCAAAGTGGTCCACCAACTCGTTGAAGGGCTCGCCTGCATGGCTCCTGGTATGGGCAATACGTAGATAGTCTCCAGGTAGTGTTGCTTCAAGAGCTTGAAAAGCTGCACGCAGGTGTCGGTATGGGTCGCTGAAGGAATTGGATCCTACCAGGCCGGATGCTTGTCCTCCAACCAGTTGCGAGTCAGAGACAAAGACTGTAGGTAGGCGGTGATTTTGGGAGAGCCGCCATAGTGCGCTCCATAGCAGTGCCTCGGTTTCTGCGGCATCAGACCCAATGTGTGATGTGCCGACATGGTGCGGGCGGTCTGCTTCATACAGAATCTGTTGACACGTCAGCCCGATAAATTCAAGGTGTGGTCCATCTGCATTGAATGGTCCATCATATTGTTCAGCAAAGACTGCAAAGCACCATGAGTCGCTGATGTCGTGGAGATCCGTCCACAAAGGTGAGTTGTGTCTCCTGCGGCACTGCGAAGATCCGTCTGTGTAAATCACTAGACGGTCATGTCTTTCCAGCTGCTTGCACTTTTGGAGGGCAGATTGTATGAACTCTGGCACATCATAATGCGAAACATCCTTGATGAGGTCAATCTGCGGCGCCATGAAGAAAACATGTAATTCCTGACAGTTGAACTCAATCAAGTGGTCTGGGCTGGAGTTCGCAAATTGTTTGGCTGCAAAGGGTCTGGTCATGTTGATCTGCAAGGGCTGATTCTCAGGCCAGGGGGATCGCGTTCTCTGTGGCCGTTCTTCATGCTCTTGATGAGGTTCAACATTTCTGAAATGCAGGATGATGACATTCTTGCTTAGTGTCTCTCTGTGGACAATGACTGCCTTGTGGTATCCCTTCTGATAGAGCATCTTCATGTGAACAATGTCTTCATCTGCTGGTTTCCCATGTTGTACATGTATACCATTTTTGGCAGTGCAGTCCTGATTGCAGTAGACATAGGTCATTTCCTTGTCGAGAATGCGTGGGTGAAAGTAGACTGCATCATGTTGTCCACAGGGAAAAACATCGCCCTCATATCCCATGCAACTTAGTTCTTGTCGAACTTGTTCAGATGTTCCTGGTGCTGCAACTTCCACAAACTGTGGGAGATGAGTGGAAGATCTGAAGGTGGGGGGCCAATGGATGTAGACAATGCCGGTAGTGTCAGGCAGGGGTTCCTCGTCCTCCGACTGATCTCGATCTTGCATGAATGGGATGATTGGTGTATCCAGTCGTGGCCCATGGGTTTGAGCCACCTGCCCATGTGTTTGGCGCTCACGACGGAGAACATGCATTCCCATTTGGAGAAGGTTTGTACCATCTCGCATGTCTTGATAAGTCGGTCTCCTGTGCATTTGAATCAGAAGCCCTTGTCCATTGCGGGCAGGAAAGACAGTTCCAAGCTGGATGAGATATCGATCGTACCACATCTGGCATGTCATGGGCGCGCCAGTGACAAGGCATTGACCTGCCAGACCCAAAGACATCAGAAGGTTCTGTGCATACATGTGTTCATGGGTGGTAATAGCAAGTTGCATCGTGACAGTGCGCCTTGCTTGACTGAAGTCAACCACCGTTGCCAATACCGTAGCAAATACATCATGTGGCCGTTGAATAAGGAGTACATGTGCGGCTGTTTCGCGGTTGGCATTGATCGGGATGGGGGTCACAACCTGGATAATGGCTGGTGCAGTTGGATTCAGGACATCCTGCCATGTCCGTTTGATTTGTGCCTCCCATTGTGTGAAGTCCTCATAAAGTCGAACTCTTCGTGGTCGCGTGCAGGTCCAAAAATTTTGGTCATGTTGGTCCACGAACCACGTCTGTATCGTAGTCGATGCTGTCTCTCCTTCCCAGCTGAATGCTGTGCGGAGCCAATGTTGATGTAGTTCCTGAATGTCCTCGGGCATTGTATTCAAGTTCGGAGCCATTGGGTTGAAAATTGGAGCTCCCGGATTGAAAGTGAAGCGCGCACATCTTCGAGCCGTCGATGAAGTGGCAAGCCCCTCGTCAGGGGGTGTCTCTCTTCTCCAGCGCGTTCGTGAGCGTTGCATGAGCTCCATTGCATCATCATCATCCTGCGGCAGGATGAGTGGTCTGATGTGTATGACCAAGCTGGCCGCTCTTGGTATTTCAACCCAGTCTGCAAGACCAAAAGGTAGAGCTCCAAGTCTAACTGCACAGAGTCTCGCCTGGCAATAGATGAACATCTCCGCAAGGTGCAGGACATTTCGTTCCGTCATGATGTCGGGAAGGGAGTAAGCTCCATGTCTAGTGGTGTCACCATGTCCATCACGGGTATGTATGGTGATGAGTCCCACACTGTGTTGAGGTCGGGTCGATTGTTCCAAGATCAGATGAGCAAGGACACATTCAGTCATGGCACATGGTGGAGGTGGTTGTACCAGGTGGATTGTAGTCGCCATGCTGGGGTCGATAATGTCTTGCCATAGATCCAGAACATCACTTTTCCAACTGGTGGGATCGGCACCAAGCCTGAGGGGTCGTGCTTCCCGACAGATGCTTTGTCGTTGATGATGAATATACCACGTATCAATGTACGCGATTTCACCTTCATCGCTGCATTCAATGAGGGCATCTCTGTCGAACCAAGTCCTCAAACGTTGGAGGTCTCCTTGATGAAAGTCCTGGGTAGGTGCAGCAGGTCGTCGTTCTGGCTGCGCTGCTCCAGGTAGATGCAGAGGTCTGCCTGTGGTAACATGATCAGGTGCAACCTTACATGTTTGCGGCTCCATTTGACGCAAGAATTGAGAGCAATCATGTCCCAGTCTTTGCATTGTCCGCTGGAATAGATAGGCATCGTCAGGGTCCTCTGTGATAGCTGCCTCTTCTGAACTTTCTCCTTGTCGTAGTTCAGCGTCGGAAAGGCATGTCGCTGAGCTCTCCATCTCCCCGACAAAGAGTCTGACATAATCGCCATCTGCAATGTGCAAGCGAGCGGTGTTGTGCTCCTCGATAAGAACGTTGTTTTGCCATACATGACAGGGCGAATCTTGTCGGTCACAGAGTTCTCCAAGGCCAAGTTCTGTAAGCAGTCCAGCTCTCGTGAGGACATGTGGTATCCAAGTTGGAAATCTTCGAAATGGTGAAGTTTGAACATCTTGCGGAACATGTAATTCTCGGTCAACCAGAATCAGCCGTACAAATGGTGTGGGTCTGAATTCTGTCGACTTCTGGAGAAGCATGCAATGTAAGTTGACCGGACCATAGTCTGGCGGTTTGTGATGTACCGCCACAACTCTAAGAATGTCCCTTCTTGCTATATTGACAGCTGCTGCAATCTGGCTGAAAAGAGCATCAGGATCACTCCAAGGGAGTTGTGCAGACGTGGACAGGCCGTCCATGGTGAAGATGACCGTCTGTCTCCAGTCCAGTCCAATGTCGGTCGAGGAGATCGTCTCTGGTGAGGTCGATGTCGACGATACTTCAATAGGAGCACGTCTAGAAGGTCTGGATGGTCTGGTCGGCCGTCTGCTCATGAAAGAGATGGTATCTTCTGGGTCCTGATCATGTCCCATCGCTTCTGTGTGTGTGGGTAGTGGTCGCTCTTCTTCGGGCTGACCTTCAGGAGCTTCAGGTGGATCCCATCTGTTTCCTTGCCTTCGTTGTCGCTGTTGCTGAATTCTTCGACAGAGATTTTGTTCTGCTTCCTCTATGGAGAGAGTAGATGGTATGCTGATGTACAGACTCATTCCATGAAAGATGGCAATGTCCTGACCGTCTGGTAGGAGCTGGTGACCAGTGTGAACTGTGCATTGTCCAGCTCCTTGTTGTTCACGATGTAGACAGATGTGGTCCAAAACCGCCAGTTGTCGGACTCCTGCGTGAGTGAGGAAGAGTTCTGTCGAATGGGCTGAGTGTCGGAAAGTGGTCACAGGATCCATGATGTGCACGGCAGTGATAAGGCACGCTGCTCTGTCTGGGCGAAGGTGTTGGTGCACAATGACCGTGGCCACTGTTCCTCTGAATGGGATATGTGGTGGTTCAGGACGCACTATGACAATGTCCAAGGGTGCCTGATTGTCCACCATCCCCTCCCATATGAACCGCACATCAGCTTCCCATTCTTGAAATTCTTGGTCAAATCGCAAGATTCTTGGCTCATCATGGAATCTGTGCATCTCATGATTGATGTAGAAAGAACTGACCATAATGACAGGTCCGTCATCATTGTCATCATCCACTCCCTCTTCTTCTAGCAATTGAAGGATGCTTTGTCCCCAAGGTGGCATCCGTGCTTCTCCTTGGGCATTTCCTTGTTGTTCAGCTTCAAAATTGGTGGCAGAACCAATATTCGGGAACAAATTGGCTGCCTCGACTGGGATGTCAGAACTGTCACTTGTGGCATGTTCCTGGAAGGAATTCTCACCATGTGGGTGGTCCTCTGTCGTGCATTGAGTCATAGGGGAATATTCACCTCCTCTGAGCAGACCTGCACTCCAGGGCATGATTCCTGCGCCAATACAAGAGTCGGGAACGGTGATCTTGTACATGGTGAGCTCGTCGGCCAGTCCCATCAGAACGTCAACGTCAGAAGCAAAACCCAAGCTTCGACGAGATGATGAAGAGCTGGATGTGGCAGTATAGGATTTTGTGTCACCGAAAATGCCATTGTAGGAGCCCAAGTCAAGTGCCAGGGAGCGCGCATTCTCAATGGCGGCGTACTCATTGATGAAGTTGTGCTCCTCGACAATGCTGTGGGACCATTTGAGAACCGCAACATGGCCTTCAATGGCATATCTGTCTACTGGCAGCGGCTTCTGGCCGGCATACTTTGTAGTCATGCTCAACCAGCCTTACCAAAAGACTGCAAGGATGCGTTGCCAGGCTCCATAGTTTGATCTTCTTCTTTGGGCGGCATAGTGCGTTGTCTTTTGGCCGCTTGATTTTCTTCTGCAATCATTGCCTCTGCTTCTTGATGTAGAGATTGGAGGGAGGTTGCCAGGCCTTCCATCGTCTCTGTGATCTTGGCAGAGGCTTGTATGGCTGCTGTCGTTTCTGGGTCCTCTGTCTCGTCGTCTGACGTGATGTGTTGCACATCTCCGGCACCCAGCTTTGCTTGTTTGCAGGTCTCCAAGTCCTTCTTGGCAGTCAGCAATCATTCCTTGTGAGTCATCACTTGCTCCTGCAACTTCTTTTCCTGCTCCATGAATTGTGTAGCGTATGTCTGCCAAAGTTGCACGGCATCTGACAGAAACTTTTTCCACATCGCATGATGTTGACTTCGAGCTAAAACCGCATCGTCGTAGTTCTGTCTGGCTGTGTCCAGGGCTGTCACGGCTGCATGGAGATCGGTCGAAGTCTGTTGTCCGAACTTGGTGAGCACCTTTTGAATCTTCTGCTGCATGTCCTCCGGTAACTCTGCCTGCCTTCCCCTCATCATGGACATCAAGCCTCTGACTTCTGCATCGGCAGCGTTGCTGGATGGAGCTGAGGGCGCACTCATCTTCGGCATCGCTGGAGCTGGCATCGTTGGCATCGTTGGCGCAAAGGCGCCACTCATATTGGGCGGATGTCCTGGCATGGGCATGGGCATCTTCGCCATGTTTTGGGTCGGTGGCGGAGGCAGCGGGGGCATGCTGGCCTGCATCGGCGGCATGGGAAATGGCATAACTTGTTGGGGATACATCGCAGGCACCTGAGGCATTGTGCCCATGTAGGCCTGAGGGGCCATGGGCGGCATCATCATTTGAGGTGCTTGTTGCATCAATGGTGGTTGCTCCTGCTTTGGCGTCTTGTTTCCCTTGGCGCTCTTTGGTCTCTGTCGTTGCCTCGGTGAGGGTGTACGTCCCCGTGGGTTCGATGAGTTCCAATGAGCTTGCCAGTCTTGCTGCTGTTGCCACGGCGAGTTGTAATGCTGGCCTTGGTCCTGATGCGATGTCTGCTTCGAGCCATGCACATAGGACTGGTCGATTACATTTTGCCATGGCTGTTGGCAGTTGGTGCAGTAGAGAGCATTGTGCTTCCTCAGCTGCCTGCATCCTCTGCATTTCCATGGCGCTCTTTCCGTTGACGCCATTGCTACTGCTATCCTGCGAAGGAAATGGGCGTCCTTCGAATGATGTCCTCCAAGAATCTGTGATATGCGTTTCAGCTTGGTCAGCGTGAGCGGGAAAATTCCCTTCCGATGTAGGAACCAGGCTCTCCGGGCCGCAGCTCTGCGTCTCCTCCAGAGACGACGCTGGGTCGCAGTCGCCGTTGGGAACCAAAGTCCACAAAGGGAGCAGCACACTCTCGATCACAAGGAAGATCACAAAGAGGATGTAGCGCAAAAAGACCATGTAAGTGTCAAACGCAGTCAGGACAATGTCAAAATAGGGTAGGACCAAGTCAAACTTTCCCTAAAAGATGCACAGCCCGACAACGAAGACCTCGTAGGTGCAAGTGCAGAGCCCGAGCTTCGTCAAGGTGTGCACAAGACCGAGCGCTGAGGTGATGCAAGTTGGTCAATCTTGCAGAGCACTGCTAAGGCCAAACACCACAATGGCCCGCGGGTTTACAGCTAACCCGCTAAGGTTACACGGCGTGGGGAACTGTAAGCCGAAACCTTTTTAGATATATATATATATGTATATATATAATATAGTTATATACATACAGTTGTACTATACCAGTAGTACCGCACAAGGTGGTCGCGGAAGTTTCAAACATACGAAACTTATGGGAGAGGTGAATTGTTGTGATGCATGGATGGCAGAGCGACCCAACTGATGGGCCGAAAGGTGGTTCAGGCTGTGCGTCGCTCTCTCTCTCTCTCTAAACTCTCTCTGTCACCTTCTCTCGGTGTGTCTCTGCCTGTCCCTCTGTCTATCTATCTGTCTATCTATCTCTAGTGTAGTGTAGTGTAGTTGTGATTGTAATTGAAATCATTATTGTAGCTGTAGTTGTATATAGTGTAGCGCAGTGTAGCGCAGTGTAGCGCAGTGTAGCGCAGCGTAGCGCAGCGTAGCGCAGCGTAGCGCAGCGTAGCGCAGCGTAGCGCAGCGTAGCGCAGCGTAGCGCAGCGTAGCGCAGTGTAGCGCAGTGTAGCGCAGTGTAGCGCAGTGTAGCGCAGTGTAGCGCAGTGTAGCGCAGTGTAACGCAGTGTAACGCAGTGTAGTGCAGTGTAGTGCAGTGTCGTGTGGTGTCGTGTGGTGTCGTGTGGTCTAGCGTACTGTAGTGTGGCATACTGTACTGTACTGTAGCGTAGTGTAGTTGTAGTCTAGCGTAGTTGTAGCTGTAACTGTAGTGTGATTGTAGGTGTAGTTGTAGTGTAGTGCAGTGTAGCGCAGTGTAATCTAGCGCAGTGTAGCGTAGTTGTAGATAGTTGCAGGAGCAGTTGTTGAAGGAAGTTTAGAAGTCAAACTTCCGTCAATATGGACAGATGGAAGAGAAGAGAAGAGAAGAGAGGAGAAGAAGAAAGAAGATCAGAGAAGAGAAAGAGTGAGAAGAAAGAAGGTGCAGGTGCGAACAGGTAGAAAAGTCGCGAAACAGTGTGTTTTGCCAATTTTTTGTGTCTCTGGGGGGTCGAAAAGTAGGCTCGCTAAAGCGGCGGGCGCGGAGCCATCTGGCCAGATGAGAGATGAAAAATTGCACGCCGTTGTGACATGAAGCAAATTTCGAAGTCACAAGTGTAAAAAAAAACTGACGGTTTCGGACCACTTTTGGAAGTTAAGATGATGAAGAAGTGCACGCCGTTGTGGCGCGAAGCACATTTGGAAGTCAAAATGTACAAAGCACACCATGCTCGGACCACTTTTGGAAGTTGAGATGTCGAAAAAGTGCACGCCGTTGTGGCGCGAAGCACATTTCCAAGTCAAAATGTACAAAGCACACCATGCTCGGACCACTTTTGGAAGTTGAGATAAAGTGCACACCGTTGTGGCGCGAAGCACATGTCGAAGTCAAAAATGTAAAAACTCAGACCACTTTTGGAAGTTAAGATGATGAAAAAGTGCACGCCGTTGTGGCGCGAAGCACATTTCCAAGTCAAAATGTGCAAAACACACCACGTTCGGAACGCTTTTGGAAGTTGAGATGTCGAAAAAGCGTACGCCGTTGTGGCACGAAGCACATTTCCAAGTCAACATGTTAAAAACACGACATGTTCGGACCTCTTTTGGACGTTCAGATGTCGGCACCTTGTCACAAGTGAGCAAAACGTGAGGGTTTTGTAACGCATTTTCCGTGGCAGGCGCAGTACAAGAGACATGTTCATCAGAGATGTTAGGAGGTCCGGGCGCTGATTTCCTGATGGGTTCCATTTTGGAGCATCAGATCTTCAGTTTTGGGAAGATGGTTTTGTGTGACAGGCGCAGCGCTTCGTATGACCTGGCAGCACTTTTTCGTGGAAGGCGCAATACTTGAGAGACATGGGCTGGAAAAATCGCAAAACGCATTGGCACGAGGCCGTCAGCTCTGCACTCAACTTTCCGTTATTGAAGGAAGTCTTGCAGAATTGCTTCGCTTTTGGTGTTGCCAACTTCACAAACTGAGGAAGTCTCGCAGAATTGCTTCGTTTTTGGTGTTATCAAGCTCCAAAGTTGAGGAAGTCTCGCAGACCAGCTTCGTTTTCAAGCTTGCAGATAGGCAGATAGATAGACAACGACAACTACAATTACATCTACACTACACTACACTAATTACACTGCAGCACACTACAACTACATATACAAATACAACTACACTACTTTGCACTACACTAAGAAACTGCAACAACAACTACAACTACACTACTTTACGCTACACTACACTAGACTCCGCTACACTATACCACACTACAGTACACAACACTACACTACGCTACACTACACTACACTACACTAAGTACACCACACCACAACTACAACTGCAACTGCAACTACACTACACTGATTACACTACATTACAACTACAACTTCACTACACTACAACTACAACTACAACTACAACTACAACTAACTACAACTACAACTGCACTACACCACACTACATGCAGCAGTTGTGGTGAGGTGACCACTGCAACCATTGCAACCACTCCAAAAAACACAACTCCAACCACCTTTCAGTCCATCAGTGGATTCGCTCTGCCATCCGTGATTCACAACAACCAACCTCTCCTTAGGTTTCCTATGTTTGAAACAGACGCAGGGATGTGTGAACGGGAAGGACTTGTAGTTGTTGTGCGTTGTAGTGAAGCGCAGTGGAGCGTTTAGTCCAGATCCTCTTCAAACGTAGTTGTTGTGCATTGTAGTGAAGCGCAGTGGAGCGTGTAGTCCAGATCCTCTTCAAACGTCCCACGCTTGCCATCGTTTTTGAAACTGTTGCAAAACCCACACTGCTGCAAAACCCACACGTTTGGCTCACTTGTGACAAGGTGCAAAATCCACTGCGCCTGCCACACAATACAACGCTTGGATCCAAAAGTGGTCCGAACCTGTGGTGCTTCAGCATTTTGACTTCGAAATGTGCTTCTCGCCACAACAACGTGCACTTTTTGAACAGCTCAACTGCCAAAAGTGTTCCGAAGCTAAGGTGCTGTAACGTTTTGACTTCCACGCGTGCTTCACACCACAGCCGCGTGCACTTTTGACATCTCACCTTCCAAAAATGGTTAAAGTGGTTAGAGGCACTCAGTCTTTAACATTTTTGACTTCGAAATGTGCATCGCACCACGAGCGTGCAATTCTTGATCTCTCATCCAGCCAAATGTCTCCGCGCCGGCCGCTTTAGCGAGCCTACTTCGACCTTCCGAAGCCACAAGCATTGGAAAAAGACAGTGTCTTAAAACTTTTCTACCTTTTCGCGCATTTCTGAGTTTTTCTCTTCTGACTCTGTCTCTGCTGTCTCTTTATCATCTCTGACTGCTCTCACCACTGTTGCTGCATCTGTCCATAAGTCGAAAGTTTGACTCCTATTTTTCCTTCGATAACTATATGTTAAAAGTATGTGTGCATACATATATATATATATAGATAGATATACAGTAAATGTAAATGTGTTTATTTATATACATGTATGTATTTATACTAGGCGTGTGTGCGTGTGTATGATATGCAAGTACTTGCACCCGTTCCCTTCAGAACAATCTAGCCCAAAGCAGCTATGCCATTCGGCGTCAACTCACAGGGCCCACAGATCATCTTTAGAAACCTCGTCCCCGTCTTCGCAATCACACCTTTGCTCCCAAAAAAGTAACGGTGGAATTTATTACCCCTAAACTAGTAGCGGATCTATTCATGTTGGGGTCCATAATGGTCCATAGTGGCTGCCGGTTTGCTAATAGGGCGATGGGAGTATTCACTCTTCAAATGTGTGGGGATACCAGAAAGTCCCATGATAACTGGCTCAACTGGTTAGCCTAACCTTTTCTCTTCGAATTAGCCACCATAGCAGCAACGTATATCTTGACCCACGCACAACGACAAGAGCCGTAGGCTTCACCATTGCCACCCTTTTTTTCGCAGGCAACTGCCACAACATCGCAATCAAACTTGTCAGGTCCCACAGCCCATGCGTCGAGCTCGCACGGCAAAATAATGTACCTAAGTACCAATGTCTGGAAAACATCCCAGGGATGGTTGAACTAAACCAGAGAATGCTTTCAAGATGATTGCAGCAGGGCTTGATTTCTTGGATTCCCCTGGTTTTCGGTGGGTTCTCTTGATTGTATTGGATTCGAACCAATCAAGAATATTGTCTTAGTAAGCTGATGGGTTGGTCTACAAAACACCACTTCTGATTGTGACATGACATCCAGCTACTATGACTGGTGATTCTCCCTGCAGCTTGAAAAATCTATATCTGGAATGGCAGAAGCTAAGGGTCATCATCCCAAAAAATGATTTGAAACTACACCGGCAAGACACCCCGAACAGTTTGGGGGGTAGGAAGTCAATGTACCAGATACAAGCAACAGTAGCTCTGGAACAGTAACAGATGAGGTTAGACATGATCGCAACTGCAGCAGCAGGACCTGCATTATAGATCTATACAGAGCAGCTCACAAGACCTTCATACAAGAACTTCTTATGAGATACCCGTTGCTTATACACCTTAGCCTGGAGCCAAGGATTTAAGCCAAGATTTGGGATAGAATCCAGCTGGTCTGAGACCAAAGGGCCCTGGATAGAATCCCTGGCTTGACCCCACGGTAAAAACAATGCAAAATATAAAAAAAACAGCAAAGGGTTTTGGAGATAAAATCCAAAGGCTTGAGATAACCCAACGAGTGATCAGAAAGACTATGTTAGAGATAGAATCCCTGGGCCCGAGAAGCACATGCCAAAAGTGTCTTCTTGTTCGAGATGTTCGAGCAAAAAAC